CACAACTGTTATCGATCAAGCTGATTGAACTGCTATAAGCAAAGTAAAAGGGGCAAAGACGAGAGAATGATTGGTGGAATTAGCATACCAGAGGGGAACATCTATCAGAGTTCACAGCCAGTAAGATGATAATGACGATGACGAGCATCACTTAAACAAAAGTGTGACTAGAATATGGAGAGGTTAGATCGGGGGTCGGTAACCAACACAAAAATATTTCGAATTCGATCAAAAAAACCTCTCATAATCAACGTTTTTGGGTTTAGATCGCGTTATTTATAAATGTGTCGTAACCCTCCACCACCCGACACGGCCAATCAGTAAAAAAGTGTCACGTTGACAAAAGACAAATAGTTCACTGCTTTAGCCCACCGGTGTGTTGAAGCGTGAAAACCCTCTATATTTCAAGAGCCGCATGCGGCTCCGGAGCCACAAGTTTGCCGACCCATGGGTTAGATGATCTAAAATATAGTTAGGGCAATACTGTAGAAGCTATTTGGCTTGAGTCAGTTTGAATTGTTTTCGCTAGGGTCATTGTATTAGCATACAGAAGGTGGCTTCTTGCTCAAATGAGCACTGAGGCAGTGCTCATCCATATGAACGTGCAAATTCCACGTTCATATGGCGGGGGCGAGTCTGTCGACGGGACAACCACTGTTGACTTCCTCAAAAAGTGTTGCTTGTTTTTTTGACCCCGGAGGGATGATTGGCTGAGTTAAGATTTGCAACATTCTGATTCCAAGCAACTCAATACAATACGTGCCAACTACACTATTTGTTGCGATGGTTTTCATCAGGTTTCATTTCGAAAGCATTAGAAGATTATAGATTTGAAGTTTCGTGACTGCAAGGATCCATACTCTTTATTTTTTTCGGTAAAGTCACGAAGGTAATAAATCAATTAAATTAAAAATGAAAACAACTAAATTAAATCACGACGTTTCGGGCGCAACACAAGCGTCCGTCTTCAGGTGGGGACAACGCAGCGAAAGCACAACCGCTTAAGTGTGCCTAAAAAAAACAAAGAGTATGGAGCATTAAAAGACTCATTACAGATCAAGGTTGGGTTGAGCAGCGTTTTTGTTATACCCCAACTACCCCTGTACCATTGATGACGGAGACCCTGAGAATGTATGCTGGCACATTTAAATGAGTTATTCGCATACATCTCGACTCATGAAGATAGTCGTAGCAGCGTGAGGCAAAGTCTCCAAATAACAAATGACCAACGCGCAGGTCGACCTATAGATAACAGCAATTGGTCAGTCGTAATTGACGAGCAAAATAATTCACAGCGCTTGAGCATTTGCAATTATGTACGGTGACTCCTCGTTTAACGTCTCTCCCCCGGTTTGCGTCGCTGACAGCATCGTCCGTCCTCTCTCGTATCCGTCGCCTCGGCCTTCGCTTCCACCTACCCTGTAAACTGCTTTGATTTACGTCGTTTCGATATTCGTCGTCGCACCTTTTGGGAACGCATCCCCAACTTAAACCGGGGTATTGCTATAATTGAAATCAACACCGTGTGAACAAAAATATTGACACAATAATCCAATATACTTGAACGTAATTTCGTGAGTGCAACTCATACCGAATCCTGTAATATATTGTATCCACCAACTGGTGTATCAATGTTCCGTAGCAATTAACAATATCGTTTTCATAACTTTGTGTGTTGGCATGTTCTTATGATCGCTAACACTGCCATCCTTTCGCTGGTACGGCGGAGATGCATCACCCAAGCGACTTGACTAATGTGGAAATCTGTTAAGCTTTATAGCTCATCGGATTTCGTCCAGTATAAATAACTGATTCTGTCTGATTTAAATTTCGATTTAAAGCTTTCGTGACTGCAGGGATTCATCTTCTTGGTTATTTCGGTAAAGTCACGTAGAAGGGAAATAATGAAATAGTAAAAATAAAACATAATAAAATAATTCTCACGACGTTTCGGCCACAACGCAAGCAGCCGTCCTCAGGTGCAGAGCAGGTCTGTCGAGTAGACATTATTTATTATTTCAATTCTACGTGATTTTACCGAAAGAACCAAGAAGATGATTCTGTCTGCTTCCTGATCACTGCTCTGCCGCGGCTATCACCCTCGCCGACGCCTCATCACTAACACAAACCAAAGTCGTCCATGTGTGTGTAAGACAGAATGACCAATAATATACAAAAAGATGGAATCCATGTATCGTTTTAGTGTATAACGTGCATCCACTTTGAGAAATGATACCCTCAGATACTAACGACCAACAATAAGAATGCCGTATGCTGTCACCTTTATTTTGACCTGGAATCATTTCCAGAAAGGGTAAACGCATTTTATTTTTTTCTCTCATAATTTTGATACTGCCAAAAAAAAGTCCCATAGATATTACAGTAACGACAAACATTTGGTTAACCACAGAGAGTATTCTCGTCAGGTGTGGCAATAATACATGGGTAGGGCAGTTTGCTCATGTAAATAATACCTGCACGTGATGGTGATAAAACAATAATGGCATAGGTGTTGTCAACAGAAGCAGTCATGAAATGTACGGAATGGAGTTGGGGGTGAGGCGGTGAGCCGTGATGACCTGTGCTATCTTTTGAGCGGTTGCATTATCAAATGGGTGTTGCTCAGACTGTCATGCTCACTTTGTTTTCTGCCTTAAGATTGGTTTTCTGGAAATGGAAGTGGATGGTCTGAGTGTGTTCATGTTGGTGGATCTGTGGATATGTCTCAGTGTTATTGGTCTTTGCTGGTAGTTGGCCTGTTGGCCAAATCCAGGCTCAAGACTTGAATTATTTCCTGTACCTAAACTTCTTCCTCTCTCCTCTACGTGTTTTCAGTCGCACTTTTACAAGAGTACTGTAATCTAACATTTTCCTCACCTGTAATATTGTATCTCATTTTCCGCCCCTACATCCATTTCGTCAAAAAACAACCTTTCCACGAATTCCTCTTCAATCTATTGAAATGCATCCATTCTAACACGTGTACAGTGCGGTTGTATGTAGAGCCTTTATAACAAAAAAAACATTTGTTAAAATACTGTTGTGTGGGAGTGTGTTCAAGGTTCTGGGGTTGTAATTTCAAGGTGGTTTTCAGAGAGTGGTTGTCTAGGGATTGTTGTCTGAGTGGTGATGACAGCCCAGCAATTTTAAATACTTAACATGTACAGGGATGATTGTCAGGTCGTTATTTATGGTTGATGACCAATATTCAGTGATTTGGTGTGGTTGCTTCAGGAATTATCTACCATTATCAGCCATTGCCTATCCACTGCTGGACAAAGGCCTTCTACCCTAGCCGTTGCCAATGCCCTCGGGCATGCCGGGCAGTGGTGGGGCATGCCGGGCAGTGGTGGGGCATGCCGGGCAGTGGTGGGGCATGCCGGGCAGTGGTGGGGCATGCCGGGCAGTGGTGGGGCATGCCGGGCAGTGGTGGGGCATGCCGGGCAGTGGTGGGGCAAGCCGGGCAGTGGTGGGGCATGCCGGGCAGTGGTGGGGCATGCCGGGCAGTGGTGGGGCATGCCGGGCAGTGGTGGCGCACACCTGTAATCCGCACTGTGGTTGGCAGCGAGGGTTGGTGGGTTATACACCTTGTTGCAAAACGACCTTGCTGGAGGTGTCGAAGTCGCCATAACCTGGCTTTGCCACGAGGTGGTTTCAGTAAAGTGTGGCCTAATGTCTATCTGTTTCATCCAAAAAGGAAGGTGTTGCGGGTTTTTGTTGTTGTTAGGCTAAACATGCATTTTTATAATCTGTTTTAAACATTTAGAACTGTGTATACTATTGACTATTTTGTGTATTCCATATGTTAGTGATGTAATTCTATATTTACATTTGAAGCGCTCTGCCACGATTTTATTGTGAAGGGCACTATATTAAATAACGCTTGATTGACCTGCATCAGATATGAGTATCGACCGTGTGGGTTTTCTCCAGGTGCTGCAGTTTCCTTCCAAATTCATCAACACTCATTTGCTTAAACATTTTAAGTGAATCTACTGTATATGCACCTCCGTGTTTGTGGATTTATAGCGTTAAAAATATTGATGGTGTAGCGTTAAGAGATGCAGCTGGCATGGATTAGGCGATATACAAACACGAGTTATTAGTATTGGCCATCAAACCCCTCTGGCGATGTGCCCAGGCCCACTTACTTTCCTGACCAGAACACGTACTTATAATTCCCATGTGTTCCTTGATCCATGTGTTCCTCTTACTGACCCCTTGTAATTCCCCTTATTCCAAGCGTGCATTCCTTCATCCCTCCATGCGTATTTGTGTTCTATTCCACTTTTGTTCCAAACAAGTGAGTGGAAACTTAGTAACACGAAAAATAACTCAAACTAAAAGTCATTTCAAAGGTGTACTTTGAAGAAAGGTTATTGGCCAAAATGTCTTCGTCTTATTTTTTTTAAGACCACAGTGTTGTGGACAAATATGTTGACGTTTATTTCCATTGTTATTCGTGCTTGTGCACCACCGGCAAAGCAGCAGCACCAACTTCACCAAATAATTTGCCAAGGTGTGATTCATATTCTTAGTTCTTTCGGTAAAGTGACGTAGAAGGGAAATAATAAAATAATATAAATATTAAACAATACAAATTCTCACGACGTTTCGACTGCAACACAAGCAATCATCATCAGGTGTGAAATTTTTTATTGCTGTGGATTTCACACCTGATGATGATTGCTTGTGTTGCAGTCGAAGCGTCGTGAGAAATTGTATTGTTTTATATTATTTCCCTTCTACGTGACTTTACCGAAAGAACCAAGAATATGAATCCCTGCAGTCACAAAAGCTTTAAATCAAAATTCAAGGTGTGGTTGTTGGTCCTGGGGTGTTGATGCTCTCTCTCTCTCTCTTAGCAGGGGGTGGTTGGTCTGGTCTGGTCGGTTCTTCTGCAGCTCAATGCCATCTGCACCCACCCCCCCAAGCGCATACCGCGCATCGTTTACCCGGCTCACCGCGATGCTATGAGATAATGGGGCTTTAAAAGGCAAAGTGCCACTGCCCCGGCCAGCTTAGGGCGGGCATTTTGCGTTATGAGAGACGACCATCATTTGATTCAGCTGTTCACAACAAACCTGGAGTGATTCCACCGCGACATCACACATATATTCTAGAAGATTCAGGCTTGCTTGACTACTGTAATCTCGATAGAAGGTTTGCTCCATTGGTTCACTTACTCTGCACGCCCGATTGAAGACGTGGTGTGTTTCTTTCACCAGAGCTGTACTGCAAACACCTTACACGGAGTAACAACATCGGAACTCCTCCTTCAGTCAGAGGGGGACGCCGTGGCGCGTCGTCGATATGTCGAGGTGAGAACGGAGGAGCTCTGAGGCTCCTCCAGCCCAAGCTGCACCATAAACCCACTCACTCTTATTGGTGGTAACAGAGCTCATTCATTTCACGGATGATTTTGAGCTGTTCCAAAGAAATGTGTACAACAAATAAACGCTGCAATCAACTGGGAATTAAAGTGGTGCTATTGCAATGCGGAGGGTGGCTGAGAATGGCAGAAAACGGTGAGTGATTATATTTAAGGAGTGATGTTTTGTCTACATGTTTAATCCAATGAAAGGCGTGGATAGGAAAATAATGATTTGACCCATATTGCGATAACAGCATTTTCTGACAATAACCAGCAATTGTGTATTTTTTTTACAATGTCGTACCCGTAGTCCATACTGCACATGACTGGGTCAAGCCTCACAACACAGAAGTTTGTGCGAATGTTGCATAGGGCGAGTGCATGGCAGAGGGTGGCCCAAAAGTGACTTTACTGTGATGGCCACAGTTATTAATTGCATTTGATTTACATCAGCATGCCAGTTATGATTATTATGAAGTATTGTCTCCGTTTCGGATAACAATTGAAAGAAAATGTACAATTGAAAACATTAAATTCTTAGCATGTCAATTTGTAAATAAAACTGGTAAAACTGTACTGTACACGAATTGGCTACTTATTGTCTTTAAAATAACTTTACGCCTCCATTTCCCAAAGCCTCATGCTACAATTAACAAATGAAATGGAAAAGGTGAAAAGCAGCATGGATATGCAGTATGCAAGATTGGAAATTTCCACTGCGAGACATAAATAGGAGCACGGAGACACGTCACTAGCTTTAAGTCTCGATAGATAATTTTCGATTTTTGTGATGGCATCATAAAGGGACCCATTACTTGCATGCCTTGGGAAAAATAAGCAAAATATTACCTAACGCCAATGGCTCCGTGTAATTCACCTCGTTATCTCAAATATCTTTCAAGACCTTGCACTCTTACCTCTCTGACTACATCCCAGCTTTCAAAAGCACCGTGCTCCCCACTCCAGGCACCATTCACACCTTAGGGGTCACTCATCTGTTGCCTTCACTCTGGAGCTCGTCAATGGCCATGGACTTTGCTCACCACTGACTTTCCCCTCCATTTAAAAATTTGAACCTTCCTGTCCGCTGTGGACATTTTCATGTAGAAATGTTTACTTGCACATGAAACACATTTTCCTCACGATAACCTACTGTGTACAACTTTACCCCATTATTTGCAGTCAACGATTTCCACCTGTACCCTCAAAATACTTGCCTCGTGCCATTATTCAACATCACCAGTAAAGCATATTGGAATGGTTGTACTGAGAAGTACAATACTATACATTATGCTTGTGTGTATTTCCTTCCCTCGAGGAGAAAACCCTACATTTTGCTTCGTAAAGTATACAGTAATTATGGTGTGCTCTACTGAATGTATACACAGTATACTCTTGAATAATGTATGAATTCACCAATATACATCACACTTTCCGAGTACGGTTTATGGCGATACGGCGCTAACAATGTAAGGCTATCCTGTCAATAAAGGCAGAATTGAGAAAATCTGCAATCATTGAAGGATTTCACAATATTTTGACAGTCAGTGAGACATTTTGAGCCATTTATTTGGCTTCTAGCAGGTATAATTTTTTATGGATTGAGTCCTGCTGAAGTTTGCAAAGTGGGTTGTTATTCATGTCTGCTTTCTAACAGTTACCCGACTCGTCGTTATGGCTATAAATCCAGTATGTTATACGGTGCCGATCTTTGGTATGTGATTTTTTTTTCCCCGTATGACAAAACTTTACCCATATGGCGTAACTTGAAACCAAGTTTGCAATTCCTCTGTGCAGCCAAAAACTAGTGCAGAGTCTGAAGTTAACCCCTGAACCCCAACTAATACACTTTTCCCCTTTAAAAATTAAAGCGTCAACACATTTTATTGTTGTTCGGTCAATGGCCAGGGTCAACGGCGGCGTGGTGTATTCCGCAAATATGCCTGACTGTGAGGGCGGGCACAAGCCGGCGTGAGTAGGTTAAACGTTGAGTTTTATAAGGGCACCACGGGGTGACCAGCCCCTACCCACCCAGCCCCGCCCCTCCCTCCCCACCCAGTCCCTTCCTGCACGACGGACGGACACAATAATCCCCTGTGGGCTGGTGTAACCAGAGGTTCCTACCAGTATAAAATATATCACCCTATAAACTCAAACCTATAGTGCACGTTTGAGATAAACAATGCACCATTGCAAGCTAGAAATGAGCAACACAACATGTTTGGAGAAAAATGGCCATTGCCAGTTGATAAAAGTTACAAACTACACCTGGGTTACCAATAGCAAGTTTTTGCAGTTTGGATGTAAGCAGGACGAGCACTGCAGCCACGGAAATTGAGAAATGAGCCTTGTTTGATAGATTGTATTTCAGCAGCAAAGGCCCAATAAGCCGTTCGGCTCTATTTCGTGGGCATCCTACGACGGGTAAATGTGTTGTACAATAAAGATTAACTAACCATCATGGTTACAATACCGTGCAAACAGCAAGTATTGGCACGTGCTTTTACATTTCACAGAAATAGGGAACCGGTCACACACGTAAAGCTAAAAATATACAAATCACGACTACATTCTTTTTACAAAAAAAATAAAGGAAGGGGGAAAAATTACATTTTAACAAAACAAACAGAATCGATAACCGGGAACTTTAAGTACGACCCACATAGACTTGGGCTCATGCTTCTCTGCTGAATATTTATTACAGCTACATCTATAAAGGAACTTGAGTTTCAAGAGCAGTTGAAGGCTTCTCGTGGTCGGCAATGTTTGAATTCCCAAATCTAATGCAACGGCGTTCCAAAATGAGGGAGCAGCCACTGAGGCCTTCCCCCCCACCACAGACCGTATCAAACTTTACTTCCACAGACCGTTCGAGAGTGAAGCTGACACGCAAGCTGCTGGTTATTGTGTGCGAGTGTTGCAGGGCAAGCTGGAGCGATGACACAGGGCGTGGGAGAGGATCTGCTCAGGCACTGCTGCGAAATGGCTCCAGCTGCTCTAATTGCCACGACCTTCAAAGTGTCTGCGAGAGCTTGAATCAGCTCCTTCAAGAAAAGGTGCTTCAATCGGCCTGTGATTGGGGAAGGGTGGGTGCGGGTGTGGGACAATAGCCTTAGAGCGAACATACTCAATCGCTAAAAACAACTATTGTCACTTTAGTAATTCAAGCAAAGTGTTAAGAGAATGAGACATCTCGGACAAATGACAATCTTAATGAAAACATTTGTCTTGGGGAACCATTAAAGCGGCAACAGTGTAGAACGAATTTTCACAAACAAACGTGAAACTTCTTCTTAGTTCTTTCGGTAAAGTCACGTAGAAGGGAAATAATAAAAATAAAACATCATAAAATAAAATTCTCACGATGTTTCGGCCACAACACAAGCAGCCGTCCTCAGGTATTTCCCTTCTGTGCGACTTTACTGAAAGAACCAAGAAGATGAATCCCTGCAGTCACGAAAGCTTTAAATCGAAATTTAAAAGTGGAACTTGTTGGCCACCGATTACTCAATTGCATATAAATGTTATGGCCACGATTGACTGGTCAGGCTGGGGTATAAACAACTGCCATTGCATTCACTGCACAACAGCTACAACTGGTCGATATTCAGAAATGCCTTGTACTGTATTTTTCCAGAATTAACTGTATATATTTTCATGGACTGGCAGTACAAAGATCAGTAACCTCTATTTCTCTATGCGAGTTTCACATAACCATAATTTAAAATGAATATTTCATGTTAAACTGAAAAAACGCTGACACAAAGTGCCTTCCAATTTAGATATTTCCCACATTCAAAATAGAAATGGCAAACCTTGATGAACTTTGAAATCCCTGGACTGTATTCCAAATAAAAAAAAACATTCTGCATCCCCAATGAATATGAAGAGAACATTTTAATCACAAGTTGGATTAATTGCCATGAACTAGTTTTGCAAGAGGGCAACTCATTGACCTGAAGGTCAAATGGCATGATTTAATCGTGGGTATGCACATTTAAATCACATAGCCATAGTTCAGACATTTAAAGTAATTGGGCATCTGTTGTTTAGTCGCACCAAAGTGGTATGTTTAGTCGCACCAAAGTGGTATGTTTTTGGAATTTCAATTGGACAAGATAAATGTATGGTAGTCGGTCACCGTATAATGCAGCCAGTACTGTAATTGCCTAGCCCACAGCTCAAAGACTATGATATGATTGTATGATGCCATGACTCCAAAGTTTAATGAAAACTGCATAAATAGGCATAATGAGATTTACAAGATGCAATAATTAATAGCAAGAAATATATGTGATGATGATGAGTTAAGAGAGGCGATGTTGTTTTCTTTCAGACGTGATCTGAAAAATTGTGAAGCAAACTAACAATTAGATTGTTTGTAATAATAAAATAATCACCCATTTGATATATTTGTGTCACAGACTTGTGAAAGCATTTAATGAAATGGCAATATTGTTCTCTTGTTTCTTTTTAATTGTACCTCATTATAGGAATAGCGACAATCGAAAGACATTTGTCAACTGATACTATGATGATGGGGGATGATGTCATGGCGTAATGGTTAGCGCACTTGGACTTGTAATCCAGAAGCCAGCTGGTTCAATATCCTGGCACCTCGGTTAAAACAGTGGACAAGTTTTATATATTTGAATCCCCCGTCTGTATGAATGCGTACACAGCAGTTAGTTGATCGGCAGGTAGCGTGTGGTGGGATAAAGTGTGGGTATGCCCACCTCTTCAAAGACGTTTAACCAGTGTGGAAAAGTAGGCCACAAATGGCCCTGCCAAGGTGTTCTCTCGAGTCCCTCTGGTGGAGGCCCTGCCACGAACAGTGGCATGAGAAGGTTATTGTAGGGCTGCTAACTTTACCTTTTCACCCTGAAAGGCAATAAAATTGTGTCTTGCTCCATGCATGTTCTCGGGATAGAAAACAAACACACGCATGTGATCTGGCAAGGATGAGGTTGCACTGTCCTTGTTTTTAAAAAGACAGTTGCAGTTGTTTGTGTAAGTGAAAGGATCAGATTGCGTATGTAAATGGTTCTTTTTTTCTGTACACAAACTATATTATCTAAAACATGTGAGGTATGTGATTAAAAAGCCATTGTAGTGCAGATTAGTACACGTCCACAGCTAACTTGGCTTTGGATTTAAAACTTAGAAGTGGACATTCCAGTTTCTAAGAACGTTTCAAGTACAGGAAATGGCCATTAAACTCCACTCAACCGCACCGTTAATCTTGCAAATGCTTTTGCTGACCTTCTCAAACTGTGAAATAAAAAAATGTCTTTTATTCCAAATATGGTGTAATATACGTGCACATGTCGTTACATAATTTCACAATATTCTCCAAAAGGTACCAAAATAATCAAATGGTTATTCATGTGATTATTTTAATCTCCTGAAGTACAGTATTTATTACATTATCTTACCCAGATGGCTTGGTCAATGGTTTGACCACAATCAATTAATTATAATGGGTCTAACTTAAACAGATATATATGTAAAATAAGTCATATAAAAAAAATACTTTTTTTCAAACACGCTTTAATGAAATGTACTAGTAATGGAAGAACTCCACGACTCCAGGAAGTGGCCCCGAAGCTTCCCATAACGTAAGGGACCGTGGTCATTACAGCCAACGTCAGTTGAGCGTGACTAATTAGACCCAAGCCGAAACATAACATGTAAAAAAGAATGTTTAAAAATACTTATTTTTTATAATACAATATAGTATTATCATCAGTAAGACATACGTATACGAAGTTTGCAATTGATACCATATTGGGAAGTGGGTATAAATTTAGTTAGAAGATTGTTGCGAATAAAGCTCGTTGGTTAACTAACATATTGGTAAAACGTGAATGAAATATAACAATATACGCTGCCAAGCTTGGTGGTGTTCATTCGGACGCTGTCTTTCCAACAGCCCTGTTCTTCACCTGAGGACGGCTGCTTGCGTTGTGGCCGAAACGTCGTGAGAATTGTATTTTATGTTTTATTTTTATTATTTTATTATTTCCCTTCTACGTGACTTTACCGAAAGAAACAAGAATATGAAATATAACACTTAGTTGGGTGAAACCGAAAAACCCCTCAATCACCAACCATGCAATTGCTTCATTGGAATGCGTGCAGGAGAGGCAGGTGAAGCTGCTGGAGCGAGACTTGGAGGTGCAGAAGAGCCTTAACAACAAGCTGCTGGAGAATGTCTGTGAGCAGCAGGTGGAGATCCTAAAACTAAAAGGTGAACTGCATGAAGAATACAAATGTTTAGGAAGGCATTGTATTGTGTCATGCTGCATAAAATAAAATGAACAATGACCACAAGTTTAGATTACATGACCTATGTTGAATACTAAAACACTGCAAGGTGCTGCCACCTGCTACTTTGCTATATGATTCAAATACAACAGTTACTATTAACTACAACCATTTGTATAAATTATAAGTATTTTAGTCAGCCGTTAAATACAAACAGCATCCACGTGTTGAACAAAAATCAAAACTATCTTCATGCTGAAACGTGCAGTGGTGGTCATCTTTGTTGGTGGCTCTATACAAGTGAGATAAATTATATATCCCTGTGGAGAGCAACCATTATTATACTTTACCATTCGTAATACAGTTGTAAATAGCTAGTGGTAGATGGTGTCTTATCCGTAGCAATTTTGTAGGTTATCGTAATAGCACGAGCACATAATGCTCAATATGGCAAAGACAGCATTAAATCTAAAAATGTCATTCTGGGAAAAAGTTTTAAATTATATATAGTTTGCTAAATGTGATTTGTGAATACTGTACAGTGATTTCTCAATATTTGTCCTGTAGGTGATAAAACAACAACAACAAATGAAAGCTATACCCAAATGGAGAAATATGAAGAGCCGCGTTTGGAGATATATGAGCAAGCCGTCGAGGTAAAAAAAACTATAATCCCCACAGGGGATTATTGTGTCCGTCCGTCGTGCATCCAAAAATGGGAGGGGTGAGGAGGGGCTGGGTGGGGAGAGTGGGGAGGGGCTGGGTGGGGAGGGGCTGGGTGGGGAGGGGCTGGGTGGGGAGGGGCTGGGTGGGGAGGGGCTGGGTGGGGAGGGGCTGGTCACCCCGTGGTGCCCTTATAAAACTCAACGTTTAACCTTCTCACGCCGGCTTGTGCCCGCCCTCACAGGTCGGCCATATTTGCGGAATACACCACGCCGCCATTGACCCTGGCCATTGACCGAGCAACCCAACGTTCCTACCAGCTCCCTCCGCAGGAATGTGTTACTTCATTATTTATACAATAGATTGAAGTGGCCATTTTTGACCAATTGGTAAGTGATGCAATTAAATTTAGATTTAAAGCTTTCGTGACTGCAGGGATTCATCTTCTTGGTTCTTTCGGTAAAATCACGTGACTTTACCGAAAGAACCAAGAAGATGATGCAATTAATTTGGAAAAAAATACTCTTTTCTCCAGGACTGTACATAAGGGTCAATTAAATGCACACCATGCTTGATTTAAACTTAAAGTCAGACCTATCACAATGTGTATTCATGGTCAGTCTACAAAAGCAAGGTTCAGTTCGTGTCTTGCACACCTGCAGTTGTATATTTGTGACACATGTAAGACTGACCAGTGTGACCTGCTGCTTTTCAGTCTTCCAACTCGGTGAAGACAATATGCATTCGCAAGCATGAAAACGGGTACATTGAAGCACCACAAGACAATGATGCTTCTCACCTTGAAGCTTCGCGAGAAGCTGAAGCAGCACATGGAGAATCCATTTACGCTACAGATTTGGAGAGCGTTGTGAGCAAAGAGCACAAGCGGAATAGCTCTACAATGTCTGACTTTTCCATGCAGTCGGTCGAGACTGAACATGCAAACCATGTTTCGATACATGGCAACTCTAGAAGGGCGTCTTCTCAGTCAGATTCACTTGCACCTCGTCGCGGTCAGGTGAATGGCTCTGTTCAGCTCATTGAAACTGAGATCCTACACATGCAACAAAATCCAGAGAAGCCACCCCATCGACCAGAACGTTCAACATCCCTTGGGCTGGCCGGTATGGTTCAAGCTGAATACATCGACGAGGCTTGTGTGACCAGACTCAATGGAGAAATGACCCCACGCAGACAGGTCATTAATGGGGAGCCTTTGGCGAATTATCCTCCGGTTAAAAAAATCACGCTCGTTAATCCGATCAAGAACCTTCGTTTAAATCTGCGTCACAAGGTACATTTCACAGCCTCACGTGAAGGACCTACCTGCTTTATATTTAATTTTCAATACATTTTTCTTTTACCGTGTCCTACTGTTTATAATCACTTAATGCAGAAAGTGGGTTTTTAAGAGGCATGTAAAACGACAAATTAATTTGTGAATGTCTTTTCTTACATTTAAGCATCATTGTATAAGACTATTTACAATGAATCCTGTAAAAAAACAACATGCTGTTTTTGTACAAACGACACGCAAATGAGATGGTAAATAGAAGAACTTTAATTGATTCTTGAATCAAGTCATGATATCAAATATTGGCAAATCAACAAATTTGGAGATTAATCGATACATATTTTACGTGTATGCATATTAATACATGTACAATTTAAAAGGTTTGCGTCTTAAGTTCATGTAAAACATAACCTGTTAGGTATTGTCATTTTGTCAAGGCACTAACAAAATCCATATTTGTGCATTGAATTGGTAATCTGAATTGTTAATCGGCTTTCTGATTAAAGGTGAAGGTCATGATAAATGGAATACACTACGGTATACACAATTATCACTTCAGTACATTGTATTTTGGAATGTAAATATGTGAATAGCAGCGTAAGTTCAACGCAGCTTGAGTTTTATGACAGGAAAATAAGTGGATGGAATACAGCAAAAATAATCCAATCTGCAAAATTCCAGTTAAACTGTAATTTGCATTTATCTGTGGCCAATCTTCATTCTAAATTATGTAAGACCTAGATTTCATGAAGTGGCTTTGAGAAGCCTTCATCCAGCGTTCGATTAACCACGGTGGCTAATGATGATAGAAAATGAGCATATTGAAAAACGAAGACAAAATGATCCTGATGAAATGTCAATGTATTTTGAATTTCTCTTTTTTTGTACAGAAACAAGGGGCAGGCTGCAATGGTTTTGTCCCGCCAAACCTACTGCGCGATTGCCCTGTCTGCCACATGAGCTTCCCTCCACATAACAGCGAGATTGAGAGGGCACATCATGTCAACAACCACTTTCTGGACAACTGACAATGACATGCTTCACTGCTCGCTCAGAGAAGCTCGTACATGGAATGTCATTGTTGTTATCTGTGCGAGCAGAACATGAGCAGTTTGTTTGCAATGTGCACAGACAACTATAGTGATTTTTTTTTATGTTTTAGTTTTGCCTCTCTTTTTGTTGTTGTTCGTTTTTTCATAAATAGAAATTCTTTTATACAGTTGTCACCAACATTCATGTTGGGGCATCCTATAGTATTAATTGCACCAGGTATTTTCACCAATTTTAATTTAAGTGTTTATATTTTGTGTAAAAAAACATTTCGGCCAAGGTACAATTCGATTTGGAAGTCGTTATTGTAATGCTGACTTGAACTACACACTGCTGGTGATAAAAGTAATAATACATTCAAGTTTTTGTATCGTGATGTATGGCATTTTTTTTTAAAGTTTCGCATTGAGATACAGTTAGAGATGCTTAATGAACCCAAAGTGTATTGTATTTCTGTCATATAAATTGTAGCTAAATGCCTGAAATCTAAGCAAAACCAGTTTCTTTTGTTTTATGCCTAAATATATGCATTATATTAAATGCAAAATTATCTAATAAAATATAAACTGAATATAAGTTAAGTGTATGTGGGCATACAATTAAATACAGCATAACATCTGAGTTTTGATTCCTGTTTTGACAAAAACGATGTTTAATGTAGTAATAGTACAACAAAAACATAAAACAAACCTCATTAAAACAAGCATTGTTTGTCAGCATACACATGAAAAATCATACAAACATGGATTGCATTTTTTCCAGCGTGCGAGTGTCCTTGGAAGTATTTCAATAGCAACATGACCTTTCAAACCGCACAATGAGATGACACATGGGTGCATGGTGTGTGTCATGTCATTGCCTTGACGGAAAAGGCTTCTCCATCATTGGTTTTTATCCAGGTTTTGGTGAAATTTGCCAGGTTTCTTATAGGGTGAGTCTAATACCAACACCACGCCTAAAAAGTATAGCGGATCCTTTTCAGAAGTTATCGTGACTCAATGTTAAACGCAGACGGATGTTTTTGGTACTATTTGTTGATCAATCCCATTGAAACCATGAACAAAATAATCCAAGGTTGAGTGTAAGGGGCCGTCCATAAATGGCGTCACGCACCTAGGGGGAGGGGGGGGGGGTGAGAAATGTGACGTCACATCAAAATGCGCAACTTTAAATAAATATAGACAACACGTTCTACTTAATTAAATATACTTTATAATAAATGTTTTCTCCTTCAACATCCGAGTGCAGCGCCAGATTAAATACGCACTACAATGACAATAGTTTAAAGCGATTTGAAGCATGGAAATATGGTTGGGGGGGGGGGCAGAGCTTTGTGACGTCATTTGAGGGGGGGTCTGACTTTGTGACGAGGGGGGGCGGTGTCAAAAATTGTCCAAAATCGCGTGACGTCGTTTATGGACGGCCCCTAAGTTTGTATTGGTTCCAGTGCATAATACACAACGTTATTGGAAGCGCAGCTAAGTGGTTAAGACATCTGTAAGCTGGACTAAATAGGGGCAAGCCTCCGGGGTTGTGGGGGATGCCTGACATACAGCAAACAATTATACAGCGGAACAATTACAATTTAGTCTAAGTCACTTTCTCCTCCAGTCCCCCCTGCCCCGGATCCCCACCCCCCTTTTCTCTATTCCCCCCCCCCAAGCCCCCCCCCCCCCCCCCCCACTTCTCTCCCAGTCCCCCTTATTACGCCCCTCTTCTCTCCCCCCTCAAGCCCCCCCTGTTCTCTTCCAGTCCCCCCCCCCCCATTACGCCCCTCTTCTCTCTCCCCCCAAGCCCCCCCTCTTCTCTCCCAGTCCCCCCCTCAAGCCCCCCCCCCCAAGCTCCCCTCCTCTCCCCTAGTTCTCCCCTAAAGCCTCCCCCCAAGCCCCCCCCCCTTCTCCCCTGAAGCCCTCCCCAGTTCTCCCCTCAACCCCCCCCCAAGCCCCCCCTTCTCCCCTAGTTATCCCCTCAAGCCCCCCCTCTTCTTCAGCCCCCCCCCAGCTCCCCATGCCATCTCACCAAGTCCACCCCCCCCCCACCCCTTCCAGCCCCCTCCCCCAGGATGTGGGGGGTTGGTGGTGGTCTGGGGCGGTGTTATTCACTCTTTTCAGAGGGGGGCACTTTTTGGTTTGACAGCATTGACGGGCTGCGTTCTGGGCCCCAGGGCGTGCCTTGCAATGAAGAACTCCGCTGGTCCGAGGGCATGAGCGGACCGTCCAGCGAAGCGATGGTCAATGGTTTTTGTGTCGGACCAGTGGTGGGGTGGCGAGTTGCCTGCTCGTGTCATGTATCGATGTACATACAAAAAAATCCGCAGACTACCTGCTGGATCTCCTCTCTGTTTCGAAGAGCAAATGTGACCTAAGGTCTTCGCTCATTTACCAGCTTCACATTCCTTATTGCCTTACAAATACTGGAGGAAGGGCTTTTGCTATTGATGCCCCCAGGGTCTGGAATGTGAGATATATTCTTGGTTCTTTCGGTAAAGTCACGTAGAAGGGAAATAATAAAATATTATAAATATATAACAAAAACATTCTCACGACGTTTCGACTGCAACACAAGCAACACAAGCAATCATCATCAGGTGTGAAATCCACGATGATGATTGCTTGTGTTGCAGTCGAAACGTCGTGGGAATTGTTATTGTTTTATATTTATATTATTTTATTATTTCCCTTCTATGTGACTTTACCGAAAGAACCAAGAATATGAATCCCTGCAGTCACGAAAGCTTTAAATCAAAATTTACCTGTGAGATCTTCACTCAAAGCTGCTCTAGAGGATAATAATAGGGTTTTTACCCTTTTTTGGCAACAAAACTGACACATTTTTTCAAGGAATCATGTTTGCATTACCACAATACTGACCGCAAGTATTGTGGTTAATGCAAACATGATTCTTTGAAAAAAGGTGTCAGTTTTGTTGCCAGAAAAAAGGGTAAAAAACCTATATTATTATATTTTCTACTGGCAAAAGAGGCCTTATGATGCTCTAGAGGAGTTGTACACCCCCAGCTGCCACTGCTATTCAGTGGTCTGAAATCAAATGTTTCGCTCCGGATGACCGCTGCAAAGTATGATCTTGTGTTTGATTACAGTGTGCTGATCTTAAAGGTGCATTGAAAAATGTTGATACTCCTACTGATACTCCTGCTGTTATAGAGTGACTCATGCTGCCAGCTATGGCTGCAAAGTTGGTATTACGTGTTATGTATATAGTTTATTGTAAAATTTTAATCAGTTTCTATGATCACTTGTACATTGCTTTTATAGCTTTATTTTGGTGATTTAGAAAACGTTTTGGTTTAGCCATATTTGTTTGTTGTAGTACAGAGTTAGATTGATAACTTTAATCTAAATTGTCTTATAGTTATTGTTTGACTTGCATCTCACTGGGATTTTTGGCACACAGCGTTGATATTCGGTGCTTTTTCTGGAAGACTTTTCTGTTTTTTCCCTGAATTTTTCTGTTTGCGCGTAGTCACTTTAAGATGTTTTCTTGTTCATGTTTTTGTTTGTTGCGGTTGCACCCGATTCAAGAGCCGAATGGCTCACAGGGCTATGCCAAATAAATGAAACTGAAACCGAAACCGTGACAGGTCAAGCTTGCAGCCTTGTTGGTGGAAGACCCAACGCTAGAGGGCGCTGTCTGGAACTCTCTCTCGTTCCAATATCCCTCTTGTCCAGAGTGCAGTACCTGAGTCTTCCTGCCACGCTGTGGCTGGACGTCTTGAAAGAGGTGGGGAAGTGCCCACGCTTTACCCCACCACCTGACGATTTTCATCACTGATCGTGTGCCCATTTACATTGCCGGGTGGAGGACAGCACGGGGTTATGTTGAGAAGCTGCCCAATGAACGTCCACGCGTCTTTTCATGTTTTATATCCGTAACGAGGGGTAATTTGCATGAATGACGTTTAAAAAATTACATGAGTACAACTGCATTGGGTCGCAGGCCTTTCCGGGAGATCGAAATGGCAAGCACTTGTGAGTGCAGCGTGACACCACCATGTCTACACCACGGTCGGCACTCCCAAAGTCTTACAGTAATTGTATCGCTCCATCTGATGACCATTTCAATAATATAACAAGATGGGAGGGATGGGGGGGGGGGGGACTTAAAATGACGATTGGGGGGCAACCTAACATGAGGATGGGGGGGGGGCAACTTAACATGACGATTGGGGGGCAACACAACATTAGGATTGGGGGGCAACTTAACATGAAGATTGGGGGGGCACGTTAACATTAGGATTGGGGTGGCAACATAACATTAGGATTGGGGGAGGGCGATTTAACATTAGGATTGGGGGGGGCAACTTTACATTAGGATTTGGGGGGGACAACTTAACATTGGGATTTGAGTATTGGGGGGGCAACTTTACATTAGGATTTGGGGGGGGGGACTTTAAGCGAGACCTACGCTCATCTATGTTCGTCGTCCCCGCACCAACGGTGGGCAATTCCACATTCCTATGACGGGCATCGGTGCAAGTTGACAGCGTAGCATTGTATCGCACAGAGAAGATGGGCCTTGTTAGAGGCTAACACAGGGTGGGGGGGGGGGTCTTTGTCTAAACTTTGTGGGGGGCTTTCTTCACACGGTTCCTCTTCACAACTCGTAACCCCGCAGACAACACCAGTGACGATTATCTGAATGGGTCCCCTGGTCCTTTCCCTAGTACCTGGGGAGACAAAGGCGGTCGGCCGTGGAATTGTCCACCCCTTCGTGTGTCACAGTAGCGGCGTCCTTCATCGGTTTGCTACTCGCTACTAACATCAACCTGCCCCCCCCCACTACGGTCTGTCACAGGCTACACGTGGGTGGCGGTGGTGATCTTTGTCTTTGTGTGCAACGTGGGGCGTTTTCTTCACACAGTTTCCTCTTTACAACTCGTGCTGTTTGCTGCTGCTGCTGGTGGTGGTGGTAGTTTGGTTTGGTGGTGGTGGTAGTTTGGTGGTGGTGGTAGTTTTGGTGGCGGTGGTGGTCGTTTGTTGGTGGTGGTGGTAGTTTGGTGGTGGTAGTTTGTTGGTGGTGATTTGGTGGTGGTAGTTTGGTGGTGGTGGTAGTTTGGTGGTGGTGGTAGTTTGGTGGTGGTAGTTTGTTGTTGGTGGTGGTAGTTTGGTGGTGGTGATTTGGTGGTGGTGATTTGGTGGTGGTAGTTTGGTGGTGGTGGTAGTTTAGTGGTGATGGTAGTTTGGTGGTGGTAGTTTGTTGTTGGTGGTGGTAGTTTGGTGGTGGTGGTAGTGTGGTGGTGGTGGTAGTTTGGTGGTGGTGGTAGTTTGTTGTTGGTGGTGGTAGTTTGGTGGTGGTAGTTTGTTGGTGGTGGTAGTTTGTTGGTGGTGATTTGGTGGTGGTAGTTTGGTGGTGGTGGTTTGTTGTTGGTGGTAGTTTGTTGTTGGTGGTAGTTTGGTGGTGGTAGTTTGGTGGTGGTAGTTTGTTGTTGGTGGTGGTAGTTTGGTGGTGGTGATTTGGTGGTGGTGGTAGTTTGGTGGTGGTGATTTGGTGGTGGTAGTTTGTTGTTGGTGGTGGTAGTTTGGTGGTGGTAGTTTGGTGGTGGTAGTTTGTTGTTGGTGGTGGTAGTTTGGTGGTGGTGATTTGGTGGTGGTGGTAGTTTGGTGGTGGTGGTAGTGGTGGTAGTTTGGTGGTGGTAGTGGTGGTAGTTTGGTGGTGGTGGTAGTAGTGGTGGTGGTGGTAGTTTGTTGGTGGTGGGGAGTTTGTTGGTGGTGGTTTGGTAGTGGTAGTTTGGTGGTTTGGTAGTGGTAGTTTGGTGGTGGTGGTAGTTTGGTGGGTGGTGGTAGGGGGGGTGGTAGTTTGTTGGTGGTGGGTAGTTTGTTGGTGGTTTGTTGGTGGTGATAGTTTGTTGGTGGTGGTGGTAGTTTGTTGGTGGTAGTTTGTTGGTGGTGATGGTAGTTTGTTGGTGGTGATGGTAGTTTGTTGGTGGTGGTAGTTTGTTGGTGGTGGTGGTAGTTTGTTGGTGGTGGTGGTAGTTTGTTGGTGGTGGTAGTTTTGTTGGTGGTAGTGGTAGTTTGTTGGTGGTGGTGGTAGTTTGTTGGTGATGGTAGTTTGTTGATGGTGATGGTAGTTTGTTGGTGGTGGTAGTTTGTTGGTGGTGGTAGTTTGTTGGTGGTAGTTTGTTGGTGGTGATGGTAGTTTGTTGGTGGTAGTTTGTTGGTGGTGGTAGTTTGTTGGTGGTGATGGTAGTTTGTTGGTGGTAGTTTGTTGGTGGTGGTAGTTTGTTGGTGGTGGTGGTAGTTTGTTGGTGGTGGTAGTAGTTTGGTGGTGGTGGTAGTTTGGTGGTGGTGGTAGTTTGGTGGTAGTTTGGTGGTGGTGGTAATTTGGTGATGGTGGTAGTTTGTTGTTGGTGGTGGTAGTTTGTTGGTGGTGATGGTAGTTTGTTGGTGGTGGTGGTAGTTCGTGTTGTTGGTGGTAGTTTGGTGGTGGTGGTAGTTTGTTGGTGGTGATGGTAGTTTGGTGGTGGTAGTGGTAGTTTGCTGGTGGTGGTAGTTTTGTTGTTGGTGGTGGTAGTTTGTTGGTGGTGGTAGTTTGTTGGTGGTGGTGGTAGTTTGTTGTTGGTGGTAGTTTGGTGGTGGTGGTAGTTTGTTGGTGGTGATGGTAGTTTGGTGGTGGTAGTGGTAGTTTGCTGGTGGTGGTAGTTTTGTTGTTGGTGGTGGTAGTTTGTTGGTGGTGGTGGTAGTTTGCTGGTGGTGGTAGTTTGTTGCTGGTGGTGGTAGTTTTCTGGTGGTGGTGGTAGTGGTAGTTTGGTGGTGGCAGTAGTTTGGTGGTAGTGGTAGTTTGGTGGTGGTGGTGGTTTGCTGGTGGTGGTAGTTTTGGTGGTGGTAGTGGTGGTAGTTTGGTGCTGGTGATGGTAGTTTGCTGGTGGTGGTAGTTTGGCGCTGTGGTGGTAGTTTCGGCCGGGGAATTTCCCCGTGCTATTCTGGGCGGCGGCAGCGGCAGCAGCACCACCCCGACCCACCCCCAGCCACGCGCGGCCGGGAATACCCCGGGCCGGGAGGGGAGGGGAGGAGGCCTCACGCCGCCTTCACTCGCGTCCACAGCTCCCTCCACGACTGCCAACAACAGCAGCAGACAACAGCAACAGCAGCGACGACCACCACTGATCTACCCGTCAGCTGAGCCCCCACAGCGAAGGGAAGAGAGAGAGAGAGCGAGTGGACAAGGACGACACCGTCGAGAGGTGGACGACTCCGTGACCACCACCCCGGGCCCTGCGTGCAGAGGGCCCAGCCAGGAGGGCCACGCAGAGGGCCCAGCCAGGAGGGCCCAGCCAGGAGGGCCACGCAGAGGGCCACGGCCGCCCGGCTAAGACGACTGTCGGTCAATCATCCAGCCAGACAACAACCCGGGACGTTGACGTGAGCTCGCTCACTTGTTCGTGTTGTGTTGTGGGGTTTTGTTTGATTTATTGTGTCGCTGTGTGAGTGTCAGCGAGGCGGTGTGGGTGGGTTTTTTTGGTGGTGTTTGGTGGCTTTGGAAGTGAGGTCACACGTGGAGTGGTGGTGGTGGTGGCGTAGCTGTGTAGGCCTACCGGCACTGCGGCCTCCCCTTGGTGGACTCGGCCTCAAATGAGTACGGTGTGTAATCGTTGACCACCGGGGAGACAAAGGCGGCCGGGCGTGGTGCTGGCCACCCACCCCCCTCGTGTGTGTCTTGCCGGCCCTCATAGGCGCTTGCTACTCGCTAACAGCACTTGCCCCTACAGTCTGTTCAAGGTTATAGGATGGGGGGATCTTAAGTGTTTGGCAGGCCCGGGTCAAGTGCATTACTCAAGTGAATACGGTGTAGCAGTGGAGTGTCGACTTTAAAGTCCCTACTGCGTTTCTACAACGAATGGCACCGTTTGGTTAAGCAGTCAACCAAATACCGTATTGGGATATTATGGAGGAATCGCCCTTCGTGACTTCTCTCTGTTGTCTCTCGCTATCTCATAGTCGTCTTTCTCGCAATCGCTTGGTCTTTGTCTCTCATTATCTCTTCCCACTGCGATGTGGGTCATGTTGTGTGTGTGTGGGGGAGTGATGCTATCCCCGGATATGATAAACGCAAGTTAAGAGAGAGAGAGAAGTTGTGTTCAGGAAAGTACTGTAAGTGAGTTTCAGCAGGACACGTCGCCACTAATTATGGAAGGAAGTATGCCCGGGGACAATGTTCACAGCAGAGATGGGGCGATGTCATCAGAGCTGCTGTGCAAGCACTTGATGGACTTGCATTGTAAAACCGTATGTTGAACGTGATTGATCCGGATGGACATCATCCTGCAGTGTTTAGATCATGACTTATGATGATTTTTTTTGAATGGCTGTGTTTTATGTGAGCTTTGTGATGTTAACCTAAGATGCTGTCGAGGATTTGAGTTGGCTGAGAGAACTTCTCAATACACGCTGCAGGTGGACTGTGCAATGACGGAGTTCAACAGTGAGGCGTACGTTGGAGTGACAACGGAGATGGATTTCCGGGCACGACACAGATCTGGCGAGGTTGACTGTGGACCACAGGAACATTCAGAAACGGAATTGTTCACTCAGCAGCCAGGTGCAGCTTCTCACCTGGCCCAGGGAAAGCCCTTTGGAGATGTTGTGGTAAGGCATCAGAACCTTGTGTGATAAATCTATTTAAACACAACAGCTGATTGTGAATTAAAACATGTACTGTGGTAGAGAGAGGAGGCAATATTCTTAGGTTTTTTCGGTAAAGTCACCACCTTCTCCAACCATTATATAAACGGAGTGGTAGCTCCTGCAATCTCTCATTTACTTGATACAGCTGTCGTGGCTGTGACGGTTCCACCTGAAGACGGAAGCTTGTGTTGCCTCCGAAACGTCGTGATTTTTATTTTATTTTACTTTTTAATGTTTTTACCTACGTGACTTTACCGAAAAAACCCAAGAATATGAATCATTGCAGTCACGAAAGCTTCAAATCTAGAAGAGGCAATGTTTTTTTTATTCTCTTTTTTATTCTTTTTTTTATTCTTTTTTTTGTGTCTCCCCCCCCCCAACAAATATATACCAATTGTGCAATGTGCTTCATGCCGTGAGACAACCTACGAAAATCACAGGGCAGCGTGCACCACGTGTGAACGAACAGTTCTTGGAGACTGCGTGATATTTCAACCAACATTTGTAATTCTTACAGCTGGAATGTATCCAAATCGAGTGCAAAAACAATGCTTAATATGATGACTATTTCTGACAGTTATTGGTGATCAACTAACCAGTTTAATCACAGACAGCTGGCAAGATTTGAACCTAGGGTCATAAGCAATACTGGCTTATTGCGCTGACCTCTTGAGCCATGCATGTGCTTTCTCAAGATGCAGTGATGATTAAACTGGAAATTGTTTCTCCATGCTGGTTTTCATTTTAGTTATTGAACTTTTATGAAAGTACACTTACTGGGAATACGTGGTTTGCCTTATACAGTATATACATTTAAACAGAACCTGCTTAAATTATGGTTAGCTTGTGTGCAGTCTTGGAGCACAACTTTAAATACAAGACTGCCAGCTACATGTGACAATCGTATCTTTGTGGAATAGAATCACTGCAACCACAAAGAAAGCATGGACAAGGTGGTGAACGATGTCAATCTCAACAAGGCATACCAGGCATACAGCGTGGCCTGCAGAGAGAGAGATTGCTACAAGGAACAACTGGAGAAAACGGTAGGTATTTTCGAATGTGCACCGATTATAGTTTGCTTTGTTTTTCGTTCAATGATCAAAAGACAAGTTTGTTAAGATACTGAATGTAAAAAAGCAGCACCTTAGTCTCTTACATGATATCACCTGCAGAAAAAGGATTTTCATTTGTACAAGCAAGAGGCTGGGAGGCTACAGGCACAGCTGAATGCCAAACAGGAGTTCGGTAAACAATTGAAGCATCGTGCTGAAGAGGGTAATAACACAGGTATGTATGCATGAGTAAAATTATATTGTGATATTTGTCATATGAGCTTGATGTTTTGGTGTTCGTTAAATTAGTTTTAAAATAATAAGCCAACTTGGCTATGCTATTCTTGTGTATGGCAGCAATGTGTTCAGGTTCTAAATGCCAATGTTAAGGTAGCTTTGCTCTCCCTCTGTCGAAGGAACACATAGGCATTCGCGACCAATAATATCCATAAAAAAGGGTTTTTTTGTTCAATCGCGTAAATATAAATGTGTTGTTAAACCCGCCACCACCCGACACCGCCATTAACCCCCCTCTGGTCTTCGCACTTGATAGGCCTGCAGTGATGACATCATCTTTCTACTTCCTCTATTTAAGACTGAAACAGGAGGACTTCTTCATAATTATGGCTATCGCTTGATGAAGCTGGTTGTAATCAGCAGCCAAACGTCATACTCGATTTGTAAATGTTGTGGGTTTACTCTCCAACACACCGGTGTGTTGAAGTAGTAACTAATTGGCGCGTTTTGTTTACGTGACAAACCATACTAATTGGTTGTGTCAGGTGGTGGCGGGTCTAACTACACATATTCACGTGATCTAACCCAAAATAAATACATTTATTACAGTGGTTTACTCTATAGTTCATGTAGTATAATTAAATAATAGCAACATCTTTATTCCACAAAGAAACAAAAGAAGTAGTAATGTTGCTGTAAAATACAAAATGAGCTTCACCAACTTGTACTGACCAGTGTGGTGGGGTATGGTCAGATTAACCCCGGACTGACATGGCATGGTTAGGCATTCATCCAGTGGTAGGTTAGCAAAGGCTTGTAAAAAACGGTTTATAAAAAATATTTACTTGGGCATTGAATTGAATGTGGTGAATGAGCAACAATTGTGAAATGAGTGGGCAGCCTGTTATGTGACACTTGACTGCACACATGGACTGCCTGTGATGTTTACAGCCTGTATGACTATACACATGCAAATTAGATGTTTGTATTGGAAGTGTTTATGTTAAAATCTGAATTGTTACGTTATAGGATAAAGTATTAATGCTTCGTCATGTTTTTTTCAATGGTATATTTTAACACGATGGAACATTACTGCAAGTCCATTATGCTGAGGACAGGCCATATGAGCAGGTAATGTACATAACACAGCTGCCTATAATAACATACTCGATCTGTCATGTCCTTGAACATGCATTTTAATATTTTGTAAAAACTGAAACGTGGTGTTATGATGTATACTGTTATGGGGGCTTTCATTTGATACAACATATTACATTTACATTAATTTGAATTGTGTTTAATCAGGGGAAAACATTGTAATGGACACATATGCATTATTAAAACACAACATGTTCACAACTCTGTACAACCATTAGGAAACTAATGAGGAAAGAAATTAGACGATACAAAACTAAAATGTATTAATGGTGGGATCATGAAATCAGAAAAACTAAATTGATTGGTCAATTTCAAATAGTATTGAAGATTATTCGAGAGAAAGATGGAAGTTTATAATGCATATTACAGACAAAAACTTAGGAGGAATGTAATGCAGATGATTATAGCATCAAATAAATATGATATACCCAGCAAACAATGTGTTTGGTGAGGAGGATGTTCCAAATGTCACATCTGAAGAGGTGTAACCACTTCCCTCTCTAGTATGAAGATGCACAATCTCCCAAGCCAGATGGGATAACATAAGAGGGACCAGACATTTTTACTAAATGTTTAGATAGAAATTGGATACCTCAATCTTGGAATGATGCCTAAATCATTATTTAATTCCAAAATGGAGACAAAACACATGAAGAATTACAGATCCACGTGCTTCTTATCACGCAGAAAGTGTTCCAGTTTGTAATTCTGAATAATAGTTAACATGGCCAAACTCACGTAGTCGTGATCTCTCTTTAAAGGCACTCTTAATATTTTGTGCAGGTGTATGATGTCGTATCGACAGAAGTCTCACAAAGAAAGACACGGCCAGTTCAAGAGAGGTTTATGTCGAAATGTTCCTCTCCAGGTGAACGGTACGTGGTTCAATTGAATAACATCTATATATCCAACTGCATATAATCCACAATACAAGTTAATGCCTTTTTAACTCCAAATAATTAACAAATGCAATGAAAATATATGAAAAGATTGTTGTTTTTCCCATAGTTACTGTATATTATATACTTGAACTCAGGTGAATTTCCTGTGTACAAATTGATGATGGGTGTAGGAGTGAGCTGGAGGTTGCCTACCAGGATCTGCAGGAGGAGTTTAAAAAGCTGCACATGGTGGTACGGAAACAGTCCAACCTGCTCAGGGCATTTCTGAGGCCAAAATCTCCATTGACTTGTAAGTGTTGCCTCAATGACATGCACTCACCTTTTAAAACCTAAACACATTAATACAGTTGGACATTTATTATATACGTATACGATCACTTGTTTTTTTATATTCAGTAAAGCATTTCATATTTTGCCTTCTTTTTTCACAGACCCTGAATCCATACCTATACAGTGCACGGACATGGAAGACTCGATCCAGGTCACTGCCCATACAAGGCTACCCCGCCAAATGGCTGAAGGCCTGGCAGCTGTTGTTAATTCACAGGATGTTACGGATCACCGTAAACAAACACTTGCATCATTTGGAAGCAGAAAAGGTACTTCGCCCAACAGAGGTCACGAACAAGTGCCAACCGAATCTAACATGGAATGCAGAACCCCTCTGGCTGTGCTTGCTGCAGTACCACAAGCTGATGACAGCTTGCTAATGACTGTGGAGTCCCTGTCAACGCTTGGACTCAAACGTCCTCCTGCTGACATGGAGTACCTAGAGAACCTCATCAGCGAGGATGATGATCTGACCGGCCGCCGGGGGGAAGGACGTGCTCATGAGGTGGGCAACTTTGCCTTAGGGGAACACCACTTAATCACGTCCATGGAACCTCCGACTGATTCTCCTGCAGCAGCAGCAGCAGGGGTAGTGCCAGGTGTAGCACACAATTTGGGTGCGTCTCCTGTGAATGCTTTTCCAGGCTGCAATGTCCCAAAAGATGACAATAATCTGCGTAAGGTATAACAACACACATTTTGCAATTGATGCGTACAGAAGTAGGATAATGTAGTAATAACAACAATACAGGACTTTGGCATGTTGTTTAGACCAAAGTTTCATGTCCTTGGATGTCCTCTTTATTGCTATTTATATTGACAGATATTAGCATATGGTTCATTACAACACTTGATGAAAACATTCAATGATCACAATAAGAAATGCCTATTCAGATTTCAAAAAAATATGTTTTTATACAACTGCTGTTACATGATAGTATGTCTGCTCTAAAGTGTGTATTTCTTTCTGCACAGGTTCTACATTGTAATGAGCTGGAAGAGATGCGTCTGAATTCCCAATCAAGTGACGGATCACAGTTTTTCTTCCCTTCTCAACAGCTCATGGGCAGCGATTTTTTATACACGCCTCCTGATGATAATCTGAGATGATGCAGCTTTTAAAGCTACTCTCAGACATACAAACCAGAAATAACATTGTAAGTGGAAATAATTGCTTCAAAACAAGAATCGGCATATAAAGTGCCTTTAACCAAGCCTCAAAATTTTTGTTTTTATTTTTTATTAAGAGAGTGTATTTTTTAAAGTTTACTCTGCCATCACCATCCTTGCTCCATCGAAACACGATTTCCAAGATGCCAGTACAGGAGAACCAAATGGAGTGAATGCATGTGAAGAAGAAGCAGCTTGATTGAGAGCAAGATGCCAGAGTGCATTATTCGGGCATTTGCATTTGATGTATAACCTAAAGTAATTGATGCAGATTTAAAGCTTTCGTGACTGCAGGGATTCATCTTCTTGGTTCTTTCGGTAAAGTCACGTTTCGGCCACAACGCAAGCAGCCGTCCTCTATTACTGCTAACCCTACTCCCTCCCTTTGATGCTGCTAATCCTGCATACTGCATAATGCACGGGCATAATATGACTTTGAACCCCCCTCCCCAACCTCCTACGCATTCCACAAGTAGTGACTAATCCCATATCTGCATTTACCATAAATATGCTAAATTCCTCTTGATATGCAAATTCCTTTGTCAAGGCGCCCCTTCCCCCCTCCAACCCAGCTTAAATATACGCTGCCAAGCCTGGTGGTGCCCATTCAGACGCTGTCTTTCCGACAGACCTGTTCTTCACCTGAGGACGGCTGCTTGCGTTGTGGCCGAAACGTCGTGAGAATTATTTGATGTTTCATTTTAATTATTTTATTATTTCCCTTCTACGTGACTTTACCGAAAGAACCAAGAAGATAATTGATGCAGGTTAAATCCGTTTACAACCATTACTACCAAGATCATTGATTATCTTTAAAAATTGTATACGCTGCAAGAAAAATATATATGGTATGTGTAGGCCACATTCTTAAAATTGTGATATAATCAAGATCAAGATGTCATCATGGCCAATGCCTATGTAATGCCACCACAGCTCACCAACTCTTTCTACCCTCCGCCAGATCCCACAGCTGCTACAGAGTAGGCACAGAACTTCCACCACCATCTGGTCTTTGGGGTTTCTTCCTACTCGTAGCCAGATTTGTAGAGACCACTCTTAATTGCCTGTCTTGGTAAACGGCCCTCCTGCATTTTACACGCGTGTCCCTCTCAGTACTCTCATTTCTGCATAATCATATCCAAAACACCTTCCTGTCATGTTCTCTTCTTGACTTCTGCATTGCTCATCCTATCTTGCCATGAAATTACGGGCACCCATCTCAGACACTTGGGCTCATAAATGAGAAACTTATTTCCATGCTGCTTAGCATCAAGCTCTGATCCATATAGTAATAATGCAGATAGCATTTCTGCCTCAAATGTCCCTTTACACTCAGACTAATCTAAGCAATGCCAGCACAGCCCATTTAAATATACTTCTAAATGGTCAGTGTCTGAAATAAGACAACCTCCCAGTCGACCTGTGTGTGACATTGGGCAGATCTGATATTTCACAACCACCTGAAGAAGACAGCCAAAACCGGAATGATGAACAACCTCAGGAAACTAGTCGGCTCAACCTATAGACGATTCGCACAACTGTTATCACCCTTTGGTAGTCAACTGCCAAGTATTGGACACAAACCTGGTTGACATCCAACTGCATTCAATCGTGTGCACACCCAGGGATGCTAAGTGCTGAGCAGTATCACTTCCCATTACAATTACGACTGTCATTACAATTGTCATGAGGCAAAGGCCAAGATTTGTGAAAATACTGTACGCAAGTCTCACAATACACCTGGCCATAGTCGACCCTCCATGAGGCCGCTTGTCACTGCGGTGCCCGTAAGGTCCAAAATGCCACACCGAGACTCGGCGGTGGCATCAATTGCCAACTCCACTGTATTCCTGACTGCAAACTGGCATGTTGATTATGGGCTCTTTTCAACAGGTTCTGTACCACCAGGGTATGTGTGCAACCAACCTGACAACCCACTCTGGATGTGGTCAGCGTCAGACTGACGAGTACCGCCTTACTCGACTTAACAGTGGTCTCAGCCCCCCACACTGCTGATGAAGCGGGTATCTTCTGGCTTCAGCATAATGAGCGTACGATAATAGATACTCGTCCAAAGTGGTTTTCATATTTGTAAAAAAACCTGGCCTACTAAAGCAATATGCCTACGTTGCATTATGGACATAACTGCCGAAATAGTCATCTCCCAGTCTTTTGCTACCATAACTTGTGAACCTACCACAGGAGCCTCATTTCTTACTACTGCCATTAACTGTCTCAGGAAAGTTTATCTTCAGACCCCAATGTCCAGCCTCTGGCTAATGTCATCAACAGCCGTATGGCTTCAGCCAACAAACCTTCATCTGCATACAAAAAGCCCCGTACATGCATCTTCGTCCTTTTATTTACTCCTGGGGTTTCTCCTGTGCTGATTCCATGGATGATCATGAATACATACTAAAGCACAACATTAAATGAAGTGCTAAACAATACAACCCTGACATACCTGCCCCGATATGAAATCATGATGTCTATACTTTGTCTACACAGGCACGTTTTTAATCAGCTAACTTATTCACACCTCGCTTCACAAAATCATTGGCTTGTTTAAGGTCTACAAGAAAATCGAAAATTCCCCCCTACTCCCAATTCTTCTTCATCAGCTGTTTTACCTTAAATAACTGAGCATAACAAACCCTCTGATTTAAATCAAGACTGATTTTCCCTTAAGGATTATTCTGGTTTTTTTATTCAATTTGGCAACATTCTGGTAAATGCCATAATTGGAATGCTCAATATACTTATTCCTTAGAGTTACTGTACTCCATATCCCCCTTTGCAGTGCTATGATTATTGCCTTTTCCAGTCCTGTGGCAGCTGTTTCCTATTTCAGGAAGCTTTGATTATCTTGTGCAACTTCAACATGCTTTCACCCCCTTTCAGCATTTATGGAGTAATACCAAATTCCTGCTGTCTTTCCTTTTTTCATCTGCTTCACTGTTTTTGCCTGACAAGACATTTCTAAACGAGAGAAGTGAATGTTTAGTAAACATAAGGGCTTCTATTGTAACTTATGTGCCTAAAGCAGACCACAGTCATGTCTCCTTTTGGACCAAATGATAACCAATAATGTATTTCTGGAAACAGTTGACAAAATTACACAATGCTGTAATATTAAATCAAGATAACGTGACGATTAGCATGCTTGGCTATGTACGGTGCAATAGAAGTTCATACACATTTATACACAAGTATAGTTTTGTAATATTTTGTACTTTGCCAATAACGTTTGTCGATAGTTTTATTATATGTGAGATATATATGAGTGTGTACATGTGTGGAAAGTTAAATATCTCAGGTCCGAGTTGAAATATTGACCAAATATTTTTGTTAAACTAGTGATTTTTTTGGGTAGGTTTTGCATGTACAGCAGAACTCTATTAATCCGTCTTGATATGGGGACCATATCACTTAACCTATAATGCGTGGGACACTGCAGAGGTTAGTCCCATAATCTAACATTTTTTTGAGGAATTGGCCGCTGTTAATCCACGTGGCTTACAAGGAAACGGGTCGCTTGACTCACCGCACCATCAATCCGGGATATATTTCTAGATTATGCGGTTACGATTGTTTTCAACACCCAAATGGAGCAAATCTGCTATATGGGTCAAGCGTATTTTCTTTGTCGCATTTTTTAGGCTTCGATATTCCGTAAAAATCAGATGCCAACAGTTTTTCTATACTGACAGCTTGTCTGTGCTGATGCAAAACCCAAAAATCTTTTGCGAAAAATATTATATTCCACCAACATTTCTGTCTGCAACTCTGCGTTTATTTCTGCAGCACCTTTTTGTCTAATTGCAGTTCCCACGTGTTTCTATCTGCAGTAATACAGCTCTGCGTTTCTGCAACTAAGCTTTTCAAACACTGGAGTGTGCACTTCATTTATTTCGCAATGCAATGATTTGCGGATTCCGCAGCTTATGATTATGGGAGTAGTCACGAACTGCGGGTAATCCGCAAAATACTGATTCACGGATTATCAAAGTGCTGTATAGTACTATATTACATTTTTACAAAGAGCAAAGTTTAATGAGCATCCTTTGTAAATATAATACTTCGTCAACATGTGACATGAAGTTTAAGTTAACCCTACTTAGGAAAAAGCAGACTACATATCAGCTAATACATGTATTTGGTTGCAGTGCAAGAAACGTAAGAAGTTAATTATGGAGTAAACTCCAAACACATAACTGCCCCATCTTAACCTTTTATTGTAAGTGTATTACAGTAATTGTGTTTGTGACTCATTTATCCTCGTTATAATTTCGCCTTAGTAAAATATATATTGCTTTGACAGTGCTTTTGCTTGTATGAAGTTTGTTAAAATGGTTTTAACAATCATGTTTGTTGACTTAAATGTAAATCAATGTACTGTATGTCAAGTAAAGTTAAATAAAGGACACATTTACACTTTGAAAGTGGCATCAATTGAAATTTAATTATAAAACATCCATAAAAAATATTTTACAATTTGTGCAATTCACAGGACAAATCTTGAGAAATTGAGCCTCATCTGATGTCATAAAGGCAGAGACATAACCAGGCAAGAGCCCGCGATACTATACCAACACAATTCTCCTTTTGCAGGAAATCCTGGGTCAAAGACTTAACATAAGGTCATCCTAGACCTGATCAAAATGCAATTTCTATCACAAATAAATGAACAGGTGACAATGGTATTTACTTTCTCGGCACCAACTTTCACAGTTCAGTCCAGATCTGTTGGCTCGTCCAGAGGATTGTGTGTGGTTAAGGATGTCCATGTTGGAACAAGTGGCATTTGAACAACAATCTTGCGCCTGGAAATAGAGCATTCAGGAAGATGGGAATCACGTTCAAATGTATTTTTATTTTGTTCCTCCACGTTGGTAATTTTATTCAATGCTGAACTTGTGCGAATAACTTCTAGACTTTCTTCAAGAGCTTGATCAGCACTTTTATCCCAATGACCCAGCCTTGGTTGAGCTCTCACTTCAATCAAACTATTGTTATTTGATGACTTCGCATTATATTCATCCGTTTGTTTTCTACAACAAAACATACACCCAGAGTGACCCCATGCCTTTGAACGTAATTTGACATTCAAACGTAAGCCATTTGCAACGCCTATTTTCTCACAGGACACAGGCTCGGCACGTTTGTCCCGCACACATTGTGGCCCAACGCTAGTCTGCCCAAGAGTTGGTAAAAACCCATTGGGACATTTCGTTCCCAACAGACCACCATTGCCGACACCTCTCATGTCATCGGTGCCAACGCGAGCACGCCTCGGTTCTTTCACCATGACCACGCCGCCGCCGACGGCTGGAAATCCGCCAAATGTTTCGGGCAGCCGTGTGCCACGTGTGCCCGCTGCCACATCATTTGCAAGCCGCGCAAGACTTCGACGCGAGGTGTCGCGTTCGATGCGTAGGAGGACCCCTCCTGGTCCCACGCGGTGGCACCCACGCTGCTCGCCAGGTGGCAGCAACGGCTCGTCTCGTGCCGATGCCCCCCCCGGAGCGAGGTGGCAGCGGCACGCGCGGTGGGGGGTGGCCCCCCACGTGGTGGGCACGGCAAACATCGCACGGCCATCGTCGCCGTGGGTGGCACGGGTGGCAGGGGCTGTGGGTCGCTGCGGTGGCCGCCTCGCAAATCTCTCGAGTGGGGGGCGCTGTTGGCGCTCCTGGTGGAGGAGAGGGGAGCGCATCTCGACGAAATGGGTGGTCATCACCGAGCCGAGACCACCACCACGACGATGATGATGGCGCCATCGCCGCCGCATCCTCCTCCTCGTTGTCGTCAGCAACTCTCCACGCCATCGTGGGATTGATGTTGATGCTGATCAATAAACCACAACGCAAACATGGCACGGCCATTTGAGTGCACGGGTGGTCCAGATGTATTGTGACCCCGCCGCCACCCCCCCCCCCCCCCCCATTAATTGACCCCTAACATTGCTTTCCCTTTTCATGTAAATTTATGTTTTAAATAAGCCTTAATAAAAAAATGTTAAGTTTTGGAGAATAAAATCATACAAATCTAGAACGTTTTGGAGAATTAACATGGAGGGGGGGGGGGTCACTAGACATCTGGACCATCCTGTATAATTGTCTGCACTGTTGCGAATCAATATTTCTAAAGTTTAGCATACATTTACAACTTGTTCTCACCTACATTCCACGTAAGTGTCATACATTCTATACGATAATCGTTAATCCAAACGATTTGGCGATCGATGGTCCAGCATCGTAAAATATCGCAATACTTTGATGCGTTAGTTCTGTGCCCACAATGGGTCACATTTTACCACTCGTAAATACACTCCCGCGACTCGTGATAGAGGCATAAACACTTACAAACACATGCAGTACGTACGTAGTGAATAATATGTAAGCATATAAAACAAATTCAGTTGGGGCCTAGTGCCCCATGGGTCGGTGCCTCCCTTTCCTAGTTTCCCTGCCCGGGATCGAGCGCTTCTCCAGGCAAGGGGATCGAGGGTGAGGCCGGAGTAGGCCGGAGTCACCTAGGTAAAAATAAATAATAAAAATAATAGAAATAACTTTATTATTTCTAATAATTAATAATAATTTTATTTCTATTAAATAAAAAAATACAACTAATAGTAATGAAATTATTATTTCTAATAATAATTAATAGTAATTGTATTTCTATTATTTAAATTTTTATTTTGACCTACGTGACTTTACCGAAAAAACCTAAGAGTATGAATCCTTGCAGTCACGAAAGCTTCAAATCTAGAATCCATTGATTATCTCCACTGCTGGATGAAGCACTATAAATTGTTGCCTGACACTGCCAAGCATGCATCATGCAGTTTATCGTCGTCGTACTCTATCCACTGCTGCATGAACATCATGCATAATATTCGTGGTGCTTTTGGTAAAGTCACATAGAAGAGAAATAATAAAGTACATTTTTTATTTTTATTATTTCCCTTCTACGTGACTTTACCGAAAGAACCAAGAATATTAATCCATGCAGTCACGAAAGCTTTAAATAAAAAACCATGCATAATGTACGTTGCCTCAGTAATTCTGCCCCCCATCATCGTGAAAGAGCGCAGAAGTGTGGTCAACACATCTACGCAGGTGGACTTCTGGTTGTAATTACTGGCGAAACGTCGTACTATGCTTGTAAATGTTGTTGCTTGGCTCTCCAACACACCGGTGTGGTGCTGTACTAGTATAATACACTATACACTACACTATTATACACAATACACTACACTGCTACACACTACACTATACACTACACTATACACTACTATACACTATACACGACTATACACAATACACTACACTATACACGACTATACACAATACACTACACTACTACACACTACACTATTATACACTACGCTATACACTACACTGGTGTGCTGTACTAGTGACGAATTGGCCACGTTCTGTTTGTGTGACAACCTTTACTAGTTGGCTGTGTCGGGTGGTGGCGGGTTTTAACGACACATTTATATATTTACGCGATGTAACCCAAAAACCTCTATTATGGATCAAAACGATGCATGTTAAGTTGCCTGTCTTCTTCAATCTATGTGCCCCTCGATGTGTATCTCAGTTGTACATCCAAGTTCACATCTCGCATTGTGGGTTATTCGCTATTGTCCAATGTTTAGCCAAATAAATGGGACCTTTTTTGCCAGATTCCTTGCAAAAGCTTTCTATTTGGTGTTTGAACATCTTAACACCTGTTTTATCGCAAGAAAAGTTAAAACCGACACTTATTGCTTAGCCATGTCGGCAGGTACTCAGGAATTATTTGAACATTGAGCCAACGTTGGCCGTACGGATCAAACCATTGGCCAACGTCAGCCAACATTGCATGCGTATTAGGTAATATGCATTCATTGGTTAACAACAACAAAAATTATCAGCAGAAAGAGATGGTGAAAAGTGTTTCAGCATACCATACCTGTCAACCCATACGGTTTACCCCGTATTCTTGTACAGGGAATTTGAGTTTCCAGGTCCATACGGCATGCAGCATTTTTAATACGGGAAAAATGTTTTGTTTATTTGTTTGTTTCTCCATTGTGATGGGACTTTGTAGAGATTTCTAAGGGCATGGGGTGACCAATAAGATCTGAATTGGTCTGTAATAAGGTCGGCACTGATAAGGGGTTGACAGGTATGGAATACATGGGTATGCATATATATAAACGTTCCTTCTTAAAGACACTAGCTAAGAATTGTGCAGCACACAATACATGTCACGAAGGTCACATTTCAAAGAGGATTATTTTCAAGCATTAAATGTACATAACGTACAAAGTTTGGTGAAGAAACGTTTGTTGTGAAGCTGTCAAGTGACTTTTAGCACATTCACAATCACGGAAATATCAAAATAGCATCACCAAACTTTGCCTTCTCCCGAATGAATGCACAATACGTACTATACAGAACACATGACAATGTCGGAATTAAGACGAAACGTTCTACAAGCAATATACAAGTTGTACTATTACTACAGGAAGATTTCAAATAAAGATAAACTGTTTTGAATTACCTAGAAAGACGTTCCTTAGACGATTAACAAAATCGGTGTACCTCCAATTATCACGGTTGGCTACGCACAGTGCGAAATAAGTTCAACATATTATAAACACACATTTACCTTTAGTTCCCTGTGGGTGCCCTGAATAAGGCGAACGTCGTAGTGCGTTGCACGAGTAACTCCGCACACAAAAACCACACTCCTCCACTCAGCAGGGCAGAGAGAAAGAGTGGCAATGTCAAGTAGAGGAGCTGTCCATTGCCTAGTGACAGGCGGTGTTCACAATACTAAGAGGGCCTTTGTGTGAAGTGCACAGGACCAAAAGTGACGTCGCTTTTTGCAAGATATGTCTACGGAAAGTTTTTTGACTTCTCTTTTTTGTTACCGAAACATGCGTTTTAAATGTTCACGCGTCCCAAACGTTAATATTCAGCTAGTTACACGAACACTGTCAGTAGTACATTGAATTTTAATTATTTTTTGTGTAAAATGTTTGAGTAAACAGTTTTACATTTCCTAAAGTAATAACACAAATCAGCCGCATGACCTTATGGGAGTGCTTAATTTCAGCAGCATTGATTCAATACAAGCAAATTGGACCAGTTTCGAGTCTCATCAGCAATCAGCCTTGTGTTCAACTTCTTTCGCACCGTACGTAGCCAAACGTGCTTAAACCATTGCGAGTGACCTAACGTTTACAAATTAGGACTCTGTTCGATGGGTCCATATTCGACAAAAAAACGATACAATAAATAACACAATAACCAGTAGCATCATTGTGGAGAAAGTGGAAGACCCAACGACTGTGGGCAATGATTGAAAGCCAACTCAATCTCCCTGTTTTATGGTTGCTCTTTGATCATCCTGTGGAAGACTTGAGTACACAAGCAACGACATGTCATAGCATGTTGGATGTCAATATCCTTGTGGACATGACCCTGAAGGTAATATGCCCTTTTAAAGGTTTGGCCTCCTTATTGAAGAATGTAGAGCATGACTTTTCAACTTCAAACACTGCAAGAGTACAACACTTAAGATCCTTTAAGGCAGCTGCAACAGTAGACATTTGACCGAAATGCCAATTGTGTTGAATTCTATGGCATGCATTTATTGCCCAAAGCATCTGAAGTTTTAAAATGTATTCAGAGTTATTTTTAAAATGTATTTGGTAAGGTATGTTGAGGAAGAGAAAAACCTCGATTACTAATAGCTTCAGTTCACCATACACGAGTTTATCATCACTTTATAATGCAGCCTATAAAATTATTAAATGTAGACTATCACTTTACTCTGCAAAGCAAATCCTATAATTAGAAACACAAAAACCCAACATTAATCAATAACACTAATTGTGCCTGTTGACGACTGCCAACGCAGAATCACCAAATAATTTGTATAATTGTAAACACTAATTCAAAGCAATTATGTAACTGTAACACTCGTCAATTGTATTTTATGATTAACCAGTTATTTTTTATTGGCACATTGCACACAAAGTAAGTTGAACATAACCTTTGGACCAGCAGCAGTGAACTGCTTCCAAATACTTTCACTGAATGCTGCAGTTTGTGAAGCATCAAGGCACTAGGCCCTATCAGACATCTTGGTGTGGCTGAACATTTTCTCAAACTCCATACTGTTAATCTGTATTAGGACAAATCCCGTGAAGATTATCACGCAGCCTCTCCTGATTTAACAGCAATAGTATTTACCGACTGATTAAGAACATACAATTCAGGTGGACATCATTTGTGGACTGCTGCTGCATCTCATTTCGATGCAGCAAGTCGATGCGACACTCCTTAAATAAGCATTGGCCCACACTCATCTTCTTTGGCGACTGAGCAAGTCGTGCACATTACACCTTTTATGCCAAGTCTATATGCAGGTTGATCACGATTGAATTCCCACAGTCGATCTCAAATTCATAAACCCCGGAGGGGTAAGAGGCAGAGCTGACCTCCAACCAGGATTTAAACTCGCCATATTTTGAGTCAAAATTGGCAGCATCTGTAAAATTACATTTTACAAGTGTTAATTTATAACTCCAAATGGGTGATATAAAAAAAATCTCGTAATAATGCAAATAAACAATGTAGTTAACATGACCTTTTTATTTGCAAGTTAAAGCAGAGGCAAAACTATGCAACTTCATACATGTCAATTGTTTCAATTCATATAACAGTAAAGTCAAATGTGAAATCCTCCAAGTTTCCACATGTTGGTCGAGGACTATCAGTTTTATAATTATCAAGCAAGGTGACACCCACACACAAAGTTCAAAGCTAGTCAGCTGACTAATAGTACACCAATGTATGAGCTACTGAAGTCATACCAAAGTTTTGGTACCTCTCGATCGATATAAACATTGTACACGATATTTTGACATGGCTTAGACGTCAGAAAATGTACATCACATTTCCTGATAAGCTTGTATGGAGTTGATATAAAAATATAGCAGACTGCATTTTTATCTTATTTTTTTTCATGAGATAAACTCGGTTTCAAATCATCCTGCACATTGCATTATTTGGTCGCATAGTGGTTTACTTTATCCAATATGCTATATTCTTCAGAGCAGGTTCCAGTGCAATCTTTTTGCTTAAAAAGACTGCATGAAAGTAAATATGAATTGACGAAATGAAGAGAGCAGCACAACAGTGTTAATTCAATTAAGATGGTCACTGTACAACAAGATGTAGAGGTGGAACAGTGCGTAGTGTAATGTATAACGAAACTTTAACACACCCAGGCCTCCATGTATCATAGCAAGTCACAATTGTGTCTCAGCATCATCAAATAAACAGCAATATACAATATATAGAGGGGTTACGTTTTGCATCCTTAGTGCCTGCAGATCACGCAAGCCTTTCCTCCTTGCGATGGGAAATTCAATAAGTGTTATACAAATAAAAAAATACAAATATTTTACAATTCTAATTTTACTCTATACGTTGTACGGAAATTTACAATGTGTACATAACCTGTGTTATGTACGTACCTAGTATCCAAGTAGCCAAAAAAAAGTAATATCATAAACAGGGCAATATTTGCATAGCATGCAGAAGAATCGCTATTGCACATCGAATGCAGTTAAGAACCCAGAAAAGCACAACTTTTAAATTTAAGGTATGCCTAAAAAAGTTTTAGACCCCATAAAGTGATCACTGTTCAGCAAAAACTAAAGGTTATACATGGGTAAAAAAGAAGTGCAAAGCCAAACGTAAAACTACAGTAGATTGAGACAGACCGATACAATTTGCGCAACACAAATCCAAGTGTAGCTTCTGCAACTATAAAATCGCATCGAAATCAATGTTTGTTACAATAACATTTAACCATATGTCTATGTGCAAATATAATTAATTCCATTCCAACCAGCACTTGTATTGCAAATTTGATGTTAAAATAGGGCTTCATTATAGCATGTATAATTTTTTATGACAACCTGTTCACATCTCTTGCCTTACATGAATGACACATTGTCAACAAACATTACACATTTGGGTGTATGGCATTGCAAGACTTAAGCACAATCTGTACATAAGGAGACATCCAGATGAAACTAATGTGTTTTTTTAACCGAGCAACATCAATAAGTCAATAAGCCAATAAGTGCACACTGGCCAATGGAACACGTACAGAACGAAACGACAGGTGAACAGAACGAAGAAATAGGTTGATATGCTCAACAAGCAAATGATCTTAACGCCTATATTTTCATCCGAATATTTGTTGTTATTATACCTACACTAGCATGAAAATGTTGTTACTTTTTTTTGAAAGCTATGCTGTTTATTTTCATGTAGTTAACCACGATTTTTCTTCTGCGTAGAATTAAATAATATACTTTAGCACTTCCATGCATGCCTCATTTTTGTGAGCCATGAAAATAATACACACAATGCAATAACATTCTACGAAGCAGTTTTTTCACAGTTACTAAACAAACAATAACTGACGCTGCTTTTAAAATTATATTCATGTTTAAAAAGATATTTTTTATGATATCAGTAAATGAGGACAAGCCATTATGGCAACAGGATATTACATTCACTATTTTAACTATGTTGAGGGAATTCCACATTTCCATACATACCAAAGAAATGACACATCACTAATGAGCCTCCTGAGCTCTAAGGATACAGGTACCTCAATTTCCTGAATGACAACCAAACAAGTTACTTAACCTGTCACTACATGTCCTCAAACAGACAGCAATCACATTATAAAGTAAACTTTCAATTCCATTCACGATTACCTGAACTTTTGATTATCCAAAACCTCCAAGGTCTAAGTCGATTTTTGCTAATGCATCACTGTTTTATTTCTTAAATATTAAATAAAATTTCACTAAGTGCTGCAGATAAAGGCCGTGCCTGTCACAAGGGATAACCAGGCAAGGTTTACACCATGCTGCCTCCAAATGACTGTGGTACCATTGGGCCCCCATCTTCTGCCAGCAGCATTGCAGCTACTGGGGCCTTGGCTCCATTCAGGCTGCCCAGCGATCGTGCGGGACCGCTGGAATCTGCAGATACGACCCAGGTAGTGGGACGCCACTGTTTTATCAAGTAAGGCGTCTTCACGCGTCTCTTGATCTTTTCACCGGACAGAGGCTTTTCTTCACCTGGGCACATGTTATAAAAAAAATAATGCAAGTGTCATACTAGCAAGATTATAGCAAAAACATAAATGCAATGTGATGAACACATGTTCCGTTTACTATAGTTAAAAGTAAAAAACGTATTCTTACATTGTTTTATAAAGCAGCATTTATGTAAAAAAATAAAATCTTAAAACTAAATTTTCCTACATATAGAAATAAAAAGGATATATTTATGAAATGACACGCCAGTTATACTTTTGACAAAAGGGAATGTAACCAGTGCTACATTAAATGGTGAAAAAAATACATTAAGCTTACATGTCAGTCACCTGAGCTAGATGAGTTTTCAGCATCTGCATCATAGACGCTGAGTGTGAGAGACTGGGGCCTCTCCGACGTCGCTTCAACACCCAGGGAAGCGCCTACCATTGTGGAGGCACTTTCCACCCCGGCCATGTTGCTGTTATTATTGTTGCTATTAAGGTGCACGTTTGGGCCTGATGGCAATGCTGCAACCCTTTCATCGGCTGCCAAGTGCTCAGAGCTCTGTTGATCCCTCCCAGAGCAGGAGTCCCTTACAGGGCAAGGTTGCTGTTCTTTCTCTGGCCGCCCAAGTAATGGCTGGCTCTCATCTGGACTTGAGTGTTGGCTGCTTAGGCCATTCTCTTCTGCATGTTGTGGTTGAAACTTTCCGCCGCTCACTTTTGTGCTCGTGGAGGGCTCTGCAGTTATCTCAACCATAAGTGCTTGCGTTGCTGTACCAAGTGCTGCTTCATTCATGGCAGGTGCATTTACAGCAATACTGCTGCAAGAAGGGATGACACCATTGACGCGAGGAGCGTTACTATTAACCATCATGACCACTGCTTGTGCCTTGGCCACCTGCTGCAGTTCCATCTTGGCCACACCCGTTTCCACCTGCAGCAGATTGCATTTCCCACTGCTTGAGGCTCTGCCACCAGCTCTGTCTCCATGTGGCATGGCTCTGGCTTTCACTAGACCAGTAAAAGGTAGACTAGTAGGGCGACATGGCAGGTTGGGTTGCTTTGGCAAGGGCTGGGATGCCTGTTCTGCACTTGCATTAGGAACCTGACACACCTGAGGCTGCAGCTCAGCTGGAGTGCTGGACTCTGATGCAAGCCTAAAAAGTGGATAAAGCAAATTCGGGTTGCTGCTGCTTAGTGGATCTTTCCCACTAAACTGTTTGGATGAGGTCTCTGTAAGGTTTTCATCTGAGCTTTCCTTCAGGTTTTTGTCTGCCTCCTTAGGATCAATCTTGATGGCTTTGAGGTCTGCTTCAGTAAGATGCAGGCAGGCAGGGTTCGGCACATGTGCAACAATGGGTGAGCGTGTGACCTGACCAATGGCACCTGGTGCCACCTCGAGGATGGGATTGAGGCATGTGGTGGGCACGCCTGGTGTTTGTGTGTGTGAGGCCGACAGGCTGGTAAGGCTGGTGTCCGGGCTGAATGCTCGTGACTGTGCCTGCTGCCGCTCATAGTTTATGGAATTGCGATTCTTGGCATCAATGGCAGGCTGGGTGCCTGAGCTGGAATGATCCGAGGGTAGGTTTTTCTGGAATCCGTCCGAGGGCTGCCCTGCATCTTCGATGTACGAAGATGATGAAAACTCCTGGAAAGGCCCGAGTCGTGGGAAACGCCACATGCTTGCCAGATTCCTGGAAAACAAAACCAACTCATTGGGCATAAATAAAATAACAGGCATGACATAGTTTTGTAACGTGGTAACATTCCTAATTGCAAAACGCCTTGATATAATCAATTAATAAAATATTAGAGCACAAATATCTCATCTGTGACAAGACTGGACTTGCTACAAATACAATAAGACACACACAAGAAAGCAAAACAATATTCGTAATATTTGATTTGAAGCTTTTGTGACTGCAGGAATCCATCCCCCCTTTTTAACCTATAACCCTCTTGCCACGGTAGCTCTCTCGCCTACTTCAGCATTTTTCTTGCTGTGGTTGTTCCACCTGATGAAGATTGCTTGTGTTGCGATCGAAACGTCGTGATTTGTTTTATTTAATTTTATTTCTACCTACGTGACTTTACCGAAATAACCAAAGAGTATATTTGTTATATATTGGCATACGTCTTTCAAAGCACAATTAGGGAAAGCGCAGAGAATTCATCATGTGCTATCAGATTCTCAAATCCACTGGGTTGGGATTCATGACCCATCTGTGTGAACTTTTAAGTGTCATTCTCTCATGTGTGGGTTTCTCCAGGGACTTTAGTTCATTCACATATGACATACACGGCTTAAAAATAAATTGGACAAATATTCCAATGCAGGATTCTTCTGATTATCTCTTGACATGTCGTTTTTTTTGCTCTATAAACACCATTCATATTCATTTCTGATACGGATAGTCATTATTTCAACCAATAACTAACTAACTAGTCTTCTTGGTTCTTTCGGTAAAGTCACGTAGAAGGGAAATAATAAAATAATAAAAATAAAACATAATAAAATACAATTCTCACGACGTTGTCTTTCCGACAGACCTGGTCTTCACCTGAGGACGGCTGCTTGTGTTGTGGCCGAAACGTCGTGAGAATTATTTTATTGTGTTTTGTTTTTATTATTTTATTACTTCCCTTCTACGTGACTTTACCGAAAGAACCAAGAAGATGAATCCCTGCAGTCACGAAAGCTTTAAATCGAAATTTAACTAACTAATGTATATTAAGTCTGGAAATTATTAAACATATTAAAAAAGGCTACAAAGTTGGGCTCATGATAAATAGGAGTAAAACTAAAGTTAAGCACACCTTAACAAATGAAGATATTTGTTTCTGGAACCCAACTGGAAAACTCTTCAGAGTATGGATACCTATGGCATTATTGAAGGCGGACTGGCATAAAAATTTGAAAATCAAGGAGCGAGCGAGGGGACATGTTGAAGTGCTTTTGGAGAAGTGAACTTCATAATGAAAGCTACGTAACAATGTGCATGAATAGTCTGTTCAATCAGTGAATAAGAACTGTTACGATGTATAGATCAGAAACATTGACAAATAAAAAGGAACGGAAGCTCACAAGTGTGAACAGATGCACGGTGAGAGATGCACTCTTGGAATTACACTGAGAAACAGAAACACGTATATTCAAGAACACATGCAAACTAGACATATATCGATGGTTAAGTTATTTATTTTTTGTAATTGTACTATTTAAAATGTATAATTTTTATTTTTTCTTAGATTTTTGGTTTTTTATTTACGTGACTTTACCAAAAGAACCAAGAATACAGTTAAGAAGATTAAGCGGCTTGAACAGAACACTTCAAGAGGAGAATTGATGGCCAATGATCAAGATTGCCGATGCAGCGGCAGCCAATGAGATAACAAGAGCAGGAGACTATCACCACTGCAGAGATGGAAGCGATGAAATCTGTTTTTTTGTCGTCACTAAAACAGTGTATTACAGGACTGCAAAGGATGGCAATTACTTGGCGAGGCCTTCATATAGCAGTGGATAGAGTATGACTGCTGCTACTGACGATTTATTTCTATGCCATACCTCTCGTTTTGGACAGCAGTCGAGCTGGCCTGGGCTGTGGAGTTCACAGTGGGGCTGACCGAGCGGTTGCGGTCCCAGAGCATCATCAGCTCGGTGATTCTCTCCTCTGCGCACTGGGCCGTGAGACGTGCCTCGGCGTCCTGGTCCCAGCAGTCCTCCATCGTCTCCTTCAGAGAGCGCACCGCCTGCACGCCACACAACCCGCCCGCAAACATGCGCAGATAAGACTCAGAGAGTTCTGAACAGCGGACGCAGGAACAGTCAGTCACATGGACAATGTCATAGCGAGGTAAAAACACTTTTTATTACCATTGCTCAAAAAAACGCAATTGAATTTCGTAATATTGATAATAGTTTATAGCTAGATTAAATACATGTTATATATACATTTTGTAGATAGAACTGCTTTTTGTGTTTAGTTTATTGTCTTTCCTCCGTCCCTTTGATTAGCAGTTGGCTACATACGGTGCGAAATAAGTTCAACATACATTTTAATTGGTATTTTTTTGCATCCGTGCATCACCATCTTTGTTCCGGATAAACAAAGTTTGTAAATGTTAATGAAACGTGGATTGGATATGGGGTTGTGCATTATGCAAACATTGGAAGCAATAAGCACAATATAGACTAAGAATGTCCTACAGGTGATGTAAAGGTGTGTATTGACAGGCTACCAAGCAAAATACACGCAGCTTAAATGAGAGTTAACAGCAGATAACTAGCAAGCCATACTTATCCCAGAAAAGGAACAAAAGATGACAATTTCTTGCATGTATGTTCATGATTAAATATGGTTAATAGTTTCATGGTGCACATTCCCACATTTTTTCTCTATTTAATGCTTTTTGGAAAGAACGTAATGGGATCCAGAGTTACTGGATACAGATTTATGGCATCTTATCAAACAAAGCATGGTATGCTAGGTTGAATGCTACTTCCACCACCTGACAGCCAATTAAATTAGTAAGGGATTTGTCACGTAAACAAAATGCCAATGAGTTACTACTTCAGCCCACCAGTGTTGGAGAGTAAATCCACAACATTCACAATTTGAGTACGACGTTTCGCTGGTAATTACCACCAGCATCATCGGGCGATTTGCCCTGGTTGTTGGAGAGATGTTGCCACATGGTGTAATGAGCACACCGGACTTACCAACGACCTCTGGGTTTTATTAAGTCGTTGTTGGTTCGATCTCCCAGTAGAAAAGTTGAATTGGGTAAATTTCCTAAATCCCCCCAATGACCAAAGCCAATATTTAAAGACCGCATAAAATTATTTCCTTAACCTGAAAAGCAACACTGGTCATTCCCATATCCATATTTCTATATACTTTGTATGGTAGTAAAGGCTATTATTATTGGTCGATACCATTATTGAACAGTATATAAATAACCTCAGCTCTTCACCTACTAAATTAAATGGTACTAAATTAAACAGTACATGTACAGTAGATGTAATACACTAAACGAAATCTTAAAAACAAACGTCAGTCATCAATCGCTCGCTCATATTCCAGGTTCAACTCACCACTGTCGTCCCTTGGATGTCATGTCAGTTGATGATTATGGTGAAGATGTCTGCAGGATTGTGTTCTTTGTAAAAGAGGGACCATGCGCTAACCTAACATCGTTTAACAGGTTGTAGTCGCACGATGCGTAACAAAAACACAAATGGCTGCCCGCTCCAATGTGTCGTTTCTCACAGCATCCCAAACTAGTCTAACAAGATTTTACCGAGCACTGCCTGGTTCATCAAATTACGACCCTCAGCGCTTGTTTCAATCCTAATGTAAGATTGTTGTTCCAAAATCAGTAATACTTTTTTTTATCAGAGGCTTGGTTTATTTGTCCTAATCTCTCATCTATAATTATTCAACCAACACGAAGACAACATATATCATCACTGTTCATAAAAAAAAACACTCCGCAGAAAAGCAAAACACGGGTCTCTCTGTGCGTGCTTTCTGATGACGAAAAGCCCAACCCAGTTAAGGTGTGGCTAACCACAGGCAAGTGTCATCACCTAGTCGTGCTAAAAATGTCAGCAATAATTTCTGTATGCAAGAGGAATAACATGAGCACATTCGTAACTATATTTAAGAAGTATTAAAAAAACAGTGCAACATCATTCTTGAACTTCCATATTCATTTTTACTTGAAACTGATCTAAGTATTGTGTTATAATTACAACCTTGCAATGTTACTTACGAGAAAACCCTCAACACAAACGTGCCAACCAGTTATTGCAATATCTCCCTGTTGGCCTCACAGGAAGAGTCAAAGAATGGCTCCCATTGGCGTTCCTATCTCCATCATCCAATGCACACAGGGCACCAACACCACCCACCACGCCAATCCCCAACCCCCACAACGCGTGAATGCATGGGTTGGTTTGTATACAAATTAATACCCCCTCCCCACCTTGTCCCTCCTCCTCACCCCTAAAACACAATAGCTTTTCATGTGCTTTGGAAATGCTGGCAGCCTTTCACCCCCACCCCAGCTCCTAAATACAGTGACTACATTGTATCATGCCAACCGCCAAACACGTGTATTCTGGGACACTGCATTGCCCAGTGAGTGGTACGCATTCCTAGCCAAGTGGCATTTGGGAGGCTCAAGGAATTACCACCCCATTTCACTTTGAACATCGCGTCACGTGGGCCCTATGCTTTGGCAATGGGAAGCCTTTTTGAGACCAGTTTAACACTGTTAATGTTATACACAATGTACAGAATGTGACCGATCTCGTCAGATCTCAGGGGTGTGTGCATAGTGCTTGGGTTGGGCGACCACCACGAAACGCCAGGATGTCATCGGCAGCTACTAGGCTGTGCTATGCGGTGGTCAGCAGAGGGAAGTACAGCAAATTCCATTATTATACCATACTTCTATGCTACCACCGTACTTCTATGCTACCAAATATATGCTCCCTACCTTCACCCACCCCCACTGACCAGTATTCAGCAGTATGAAGTATGGGAAAAATAACCTATTTAAGGAACGAAAAAGGAGGATTTCTCCACAAATCTGGCCGTCCGCCTGATGATGCTAGTTGTAATTAGTGGTGAAACATCGTAAGCAGATTGTAAATGTTGTGGATTTGCTCTCCAACACACCAGTGTGCTTTAGTAATAACGAAATGGCATGTTCTGTTTACGTGACAACCCTTACTAATTGGCTATGTCTGGTGGTGGCGGGTTTAACGACACATTTATATATTTACGCGATCTAACCTAAAAAAACCTGTATTATGGATAATATTGGTCGGGAAAGCCTACGTGTTAAAAGAAAATAACTCCATGACCTGCACAACGTCTGGGGACCCTTATCAAGCAGTGGATTTATGTAATGGCCTCTTATCAGATGTCTATTACACAAGGTTAATGCATTTAAATAATTTCCTTTCATAAAAATAACACGTGCTTAATAAAGCGTGGAGATGTACAATTATTAAATAAATGCAAAACGTCATCGCATATGTTCTGCAACCAAGGTTATAAAACCTAACAAACATGGAACATAACAAGGAATATTTATCGGCATGTTCTAAGTTCATAGATAATCAGAGAATATAGTTTTCCAAGTCCAATTTACGAATTTATGTTGTAACACCACACGGCCAGGCAAAGTGGTTTAACCGTTTAATGAACGATCATGCTAAAAAATTGTGCAAATAAAGTCACCAAACCTAACTTAATGGCCAAAAGTACTCTGAAAATGGTCCCACAATTGGTTAATGGAACAACCACATGGAAAGAGAGCAAAAGCCTTTCAACTTGAAGCATTTTTCCCCCCAAGTTATAAAATACACAAAAGAGAAACTTGGAAAACAAATAACAGTCTTAGAATCACTAGTTTTGGTATCAAGATTTAATCCTATCACTTGAGGCAGCTAATGGCATCGAGCACCATTCAGAGCCCCTTTTGCTAATGTGAGAAAACCAGCAGGGCACGTCTAGACCATCACAACCCACAACAGCCCCATCCCCCGCAGAGTCACACAATGGGGCTGGGTACCGCTCTCTCCATACATGTCTGCGGCTGTTAGACGATGAATGGCCAGTGTGTGCCACTCATGCCTGGATACGGGTCAATGAAACTATGCAGACGGAATTGTTTATTGCTATACTTGCATTCTAAGTGTTTCTCAGGCCAGAAAAGAGGCGAGAGCGCCACCCAATTTCAGCAAATGTTCCTGGCATATTTCTGTGCTGTTACAAAACGAACCAAGTTTGCAACGCATGTATAGACATTTATTGTGTTCTTGTAAAGCAAAATCATTGCAAGTGATAAAGAGAATGCAAACACGGGGGAAATCACATTTTCTCTTTAATTGCCTCTTTGTATATATTGCCTTTTGGTATATATTGCCTTTGCCCTTCTGTAACAAACTAGAGAGCAAAGTACAGTCATGCCCGAGTATTGCAACAGCTTTGACACATTTGCAGCCTAAGAAACACACACCATGAGAAAGAAACTGTGAAGCAATCGACAATGCACGTCACATGAGATTCCATACCAGGCTGTTCTCCTTCCACGCGTCAGGAAATTTTGGACGTTGCTTCTCACGGGAGACCAGCACCTGCATGTCCTCGATTGTCGGTTGGTTTCCCAGCTCAGCCTGAAATGCCGCCTGGTAATCGGAGATGCTCTCGCCTGCACACACAACAGCACGTCATGATTAAAACGCCAAAACACTCCCAAGGCTAAATATTAGGTTCAAAGAAAAACTCGGGACTTAATTTCTACACATCTTTTGAGTAGAACGTTGTGACATACTTTAAGCAATATATATATATATATAAAAGGGAAATTTGTGAATATGTGTGTCTGTTCAAAATGTTTAGCATACTTCCCGACATACAACAAAGTTGAAATTTGGCATGTGGGTAGCTTCCAGACTGTACACAATGCAAAAAGTATAAAAATAGACTTTGGTATTTTGGGGGGTGGGGGGTGGGCGCAATAATGGATATATTTTGCACGCAAGTGAGCGGTGACATCACATGTCTGTCATGTCACCCCCGCATGCGGCAGCGTCACGCAGTGTGCCTGCTGACGTCACGCATCCCCCCCCCAAACCCTCCGTGTATCCCGCACAAATGCGCAGCTGGTGGGGGGGGGGAAATAATGGATATAATATACTCGGCTACAAACTTTAAATTTGCCATGTCGCTAGCTCCCATACTGTACACAATGTAAAACGTATAAAAATAGACTTTTGTATTTTGGGGGGGGGAAATGACCATGAAGTGTATGGCGTCAACCCGCATACAGGACTGGCAAGAATTGATATCTGCCGAGCGTTTGTGGTATCGATTAAACGGGAATAGGCTGATTCTAAATAAATCTACAACCTTCGCTTCCTTTGCTCGATTTAAAGAATCGAATCTTGGCGCGCGAGCATAATTTTTTTTTCCACCGCGCGTTGGGTTTTATTTTAATTAATGAGGTAGTAATGATCAAAGTTTTATTTGCATTTGTGTACGTTATGGTTTTCAGTTGAGAAGTTTTTAAATTAATTTTCCCCCCGGGCAACGCCGGGTACTTCCCGCGAGTAGTGCACAAGTGAATCAACTTGAGATAGGGAGAGTAGATCGCTGACCACTGGATTGAACCAGCATAAGTGTGGGTGGAATCTTCATTCAACACCAGTGTCCTACCTGGGAATAGGTCGGAGCACCTCATGTATATCTCCCAGTAGATAAGGCCTAGCGAATAGACGTCCACTTGTTTGAGGGCTGACTCGCAGTCGTGCAGGTTGACCGCTCCCTCCAGGACTTCGGGCGCCATGTACCGCACCGTGCCCACCTACACACAGTGACCCGGCCACAAACAGAGAATCAATCCACAGTGAGATGAGTTAAAAATCATTTGTAAGTTATGGACAAAGCGGGACGGATATTGTTTTATGAACTACAGCCAATCTATCGGCGGACAAAACACCTGCATTTTACACTTTACAGATTCACACATTTCCAAGTATTTTAAGTTGACGATGATCATGCAGTAGCCTGAGATTTAACATTTCCATAAGCATAATAAAGTACATAAGAGAATAATGTTTACATGACACTTAATTCTCACAATAAGCAGATGCAGAATCGGGCAACAATGGAGATGTACATTAAGTTCCCCTTTAATTAGATGCATTTTTGTTGTGTTTATTAATGAAGAAGGATGTACCTCATTTAGCGCAGCTGTGTCTTCCTCCCCTGGGCGGACGAGCCGCTGGCCCGTCAGCCGCATAGCAAAGCCAAAATCGGCCAGCACGCACGACCCATCACTCTTCACCATCACATTGCGACTGTTGAGGTCCCGGTGTGCTATTGCTGGCTTGTACTGGTCTGTACATCAAAGTGCACGCAAAACATCAATGGAGTCTCCAATATTGTCCTTTGATCAAAGAACATTATTTTTCTCGTGTCGACAAGAAACAGAAGACATAACACATTTAGTAAAAAACTTTGTTTTAAACTTTTTATTTTATACATAGTTTTTTTTAAAGTAAATATTCTGGAGTAAAATATTTAAGTATTTACTATTGTTTTAATCATTAATATTTATTTCTGGTGATTCATGTAATTATGGATTAGCAATTAACTTTATCCTTCATTGTCAAGACTGTGTATACGTGACTAGCCACCTACCATTCCGCTGTAGCTCTGTGTGCAAGTATGCCAGGCCTCTGGTGATGGAATAAGCCAGCTTGCTTGCTGACATCCAGTCGCTTGTATGGTGGGTAAGATAATTACTCAAGGAGCCCTTTAAGAATAAAATATGAAACAAACCTCATTCAAAATCATTATTCTCGACACTTTTACCCCAGTGTAATAAGGGAAGCCAATTACAAATAACAAAACATATTGTGAAATCGATTTCTGGAAAATACACAGTAAACACTATCCCATGTCATGTGATTCACAAAATCATCTGTTTTAAATTTTAATGTAGATGTTGTGAACATTTCATATTTTGTCTCTCACATTTGAATGAAATTCATAACAGATGCAAGAGAATGACCGTTACTACGTAGGTATTGGTATTTGTGCTTCATAGCGCTCTGATGTGTTTTTGAGCGGTACCGTGTTGGACATTATGTCCAACATTTTGCTTTACGTTAGTTTGTTGTCCTTCGCCCGCACATCTGATTAGTTCAGTTGGTTATAAACGGTGCGCAAGACGTTCAACATACATGTTCTATATTCACTTCCTTAAAAACTGCCAGCAAATTGAACAACACGTCAGACATTATGCCAAACAACATGCTGCAAAACCTAAAAACACAAAGAACTAAAATTAGTTTTCAAAGTTTATTGCTAAATTCCTTTTTTTCGTGTCAGACTGCAGTTTATCGATCCTATGGTCTCATTATTCCTTCTGAAAACCCCAAAGTCTCCCACTAACCTTGCAACACGTGTATACTACCATAGTTTTGAACATGACTGCCATGGAAATTGTTACATGTCACAGCAATACAAAACTCACTGTGTGCTGGCATGAGTACACACCAAACATTTAAATGTATATCATCTGCAAGTGGATCCTTACATGAGAGTAATACTCGAGGATGAGCAAGTATTCATGGTGGCCCTCGGACGCCACCCTCTCTTCGGCTGCCACAAAGCGCGCAATGTTGTCATGCTCCATGAGTGGCAGGCGGTATATGTCCTTCTCGTTGTGAAAGTACTGCCGGTGTGCAACGGCGACAGCCTTCACAGCAACAGGGAGCTCATCCAGAGATCCTCTCCATACCACACTGTACCTGCCTCGCCCCACCACCTGCAAAAACGTGCAGCGCTTCATGAGCCATTCCAAAACCCAGCCACCAATGGGCTAACACGAGAGGCGAGTGATATCAGAATGGGTCCCGGGCCCCACATTCACCAACGGCCACCGATCAGTGTGGTGAAGTAAGGCCAATCAACCCCCTTGACCGACACTGCATGGGCAAGACCTTTATCCATAAGCAGTTAAAGTTCAGAACATGTATTCAAGATGTTCAATTTAAACACATAATTGGTAGTTGTTGCCGTAAAGTTAAAATAAACGTTTATCATCAAGAGTAAAAGCGGTGTTCCTCTTAATGATGGTCCATAGCAAGAGGTAGAAATTATACATTGCTGTGGCTAGGCCCATTCTCCCCATAGGATCACCACTAATTTTATCAACCCTTCAAGGGATGATGGGCTAAGCTGACCACCACACTGGAATTTGCAAATCTTTGATTTGAGTCGAGGGCTATGCCACAATGCCATTCAGCTAAAAAGTTATTGGTATGAAATGTGATCATGCTAATAGCTGGCAATACAAGTAACACAGCTTATGACGTTTGATTATTCACAAATGTGCTTTAATAAAAAATGAATGCTTAAATATTTCTAAAATAAAACCTCAGCAGTTTACAAAAGACAAAACCCAACTACCAAAAACTGAACAGCATAGAGATGCTGCAAGATATGTAAGAGAAATTGAATAATTGGTCGGTTTTAGGAATATCTTTGTGAACCGATTGAACTCATTTAAGTTTTTCAAATACCCATGTTTAATGAAATTTTATCTCATGCTTTTTTAAATAAATTAACAATATCTTCATAAATTAACAATATGTAAATATATTAATACACCCTAAACAATGGCTGATAATGGGAATTCTACATGTGAACTATTTTAATTAAATAAAATGCATATTATTTTCAATGCACATTCTCTCATGTCAAAATGTTGGCACAGTTGAATGAAAATACATTTCTAAATGCACATGTACGAGCATTCCAAGAATAGTTGCAACAATACAGCTGCATGTACGTGTGATGTTCTAATGTTTAAACATTCATGCTCCATATCTGCTGCGTAAGCAGAGGTTTTTCTCAGTAAAATATAGATCCTATAAAATGCTTTGCATGTAAACATCAGTCCGGTCAGAAAGACATTTCATGTTCAATAGCCAATTATTTTAAAACTTACAGTGTACATATATGCAACAATAACCACTTTACATTTTAAAAAGGTAAGGAAAGAATGCCATTACACTGCTAGTATGTCCCCATGTTCTAAGTGCTCCTCATTTCTCCCTTGGGGACTGATTGGCAATTTGGTTTGCAGTTCCCATGAATTATTGTGCAAAGGCAACGGAAGGACACGACTGCAGCCAGTTGATTTAATGCGGTTCATCCCAATCTTTGGGTCAGCAGCCCTTATAGGACAGCAACAATCTAAACCTTCCAAATCCATTATTATTTTGTTACAGGCCACAAATATTAACAGCACAGAGCATACGGAGCTCAGCATGTCAACAGGGGCACACTTAATGGCCTTCATTGATATATAGAAAATGCATCGCAATGTTCCGTTATCTTAAACGATACACAAACTTGAATAAATAGCTGCAATGGAGCAAAAATATTTGTTCCAGAATTCAAGGAGCAATATGAAGTTCATGTTATACACATTCATTACTTTAATCCTGTGACAAAAACAGCAGTACATAAAAAAAGTACATTTAGTAAAATGGGAATTTAAATTGCCACGAAATTATACAACTATGGAGAATATTAATAATACAATGTTTTGTATTTACTATATTGAAATCTAACCCTTCATAAAAAATGCTGTGAATGTCAATAGTCACAATTAAATGACAATGAACTACAAACAGGGACTTACTAAAAAAAAAATTCGTCTATGTCATTCATTAAATATAATACACACACTTAATGCATTTCATTTTTCAGACATGTGCAAATGACAATGTACTGTCACGTAACAATTTTCATTTGCACGCCCAATAGAATCATTCAAATTAAGAAGAATAAACACCAGGCAGCTTTGGTGATGCAAAAGCACATTTTTTGGAAGGTTAACACATGACATTAGTCATACATTTGGAAGAGGATCTTGTGACTACCAAACAATTCCAAAGAGTGCTTGTTGAGGGCAGAGCCTCTATCAGCCACTTTGCGGCCCTCACAGCAAGCAGTCATGGAGGTGTTGCCCTGAATGTTAAACGAATTAACTGTATACAAGTTTCAGCTCACAAAATATACACACGCACACACATCTCCTAACGCATGCTTGCAAAACACATGTTGTAACAGAAAGAAAAAAAGGTCAGTAAAAGTTACAGCAGGAAAACGTTTTTAAATTAGTACCAGCCATCACCACCACTGGTAGCCTATCGCTGCAACTCTGACAAAAAAAACATCTGAAAATTTGGAACAAACAAATTGTGGGGTTTATTCTGGTCTAAGAGACTGGATCTGAGTGGAAAATTCCTCCACTCTCAATAATGTGTCTTACTTTACAGCAGAGGTCGCAATCGGGTACCCGATACCCGGCTACCCGTACCCGGCTACCCGTACCCAGCCGGGTACGGGTAGACCGCGAGTCACTGGTGAGTAACTGTTTGTCACTCATTTCCCAACGTCTTGTCTCTTCTCACAATTCAAGTTCCTAGAATCAACCCACCCGCGCCTGCAACATGGCTTCATCCCAGAGGTCACAATCAGGTACCCAGTACCCGTACCCAACCCGTACCCGGCCGGGTACGGGTAGGGTACGGGTACGGGTACGGCCGGGTATGGGTACCCGTTTGTGACCCTGGTGCGGCCGGATACGGGTACGGGTAAGGAATAAAAACCCGTTTGCGACCTCTGCTTTACAGACAATACACACCTGCAGGAGCTTGAGGCTGTCCAAGTCAAATGTAGACTCTGGCTGTGGGGCCTCGATTAGACCAATGTTATGAAACCCTCCTTTTCTGTTTCCTGTGAACATTTGCAGACAAATCACATTTGTTTCAGTTGAAAATTAGTTTATCATACAGGCTTAGTACATTTACATTCGTGCCATTATATTGCCAAAGCGAAAAAATTATCAACCCTAAAATGTTAACTCAACTAAACCAGTACAAATGCTATATGAACCATGCAATCATTAACATCAGTTGCAATACCAAACTATGCAAATACAGCATTTTGAATAAACACTTACAGAGAAAGTCACAACAAGTCTACATTTGCGTGCATCATCACTCAAGAGATAGCGATACTCCGATGACGTTTCATCCCCAAACCTCATTAGACAGGCAGATGAGTCACCAGACCAACCTAAACACTTGGCCTGCCCTCATGTCAGCTCTTGTCCTCCCCTAATTTACCAATTGACAGAGAATCGAAAGGAAACACTGGCTGGAATACTGCAGTCCCAACGTGACAGTAGCATGTCTTGCGGCAGGCTAGATACCGAGGATTCTGAGGTCTGCCCTACCAAACTCATGAGGTTTGAGGAAGAAACAACACGGCTGTAATACCGTATTTGAGTGACAAACAATTGCAGTCTCCTGCTCTAAAAGTTTTTGATAGTAACCACAATTATTCTTTTCATTATTTAAAGAGAACTGTCAAAACATGTTTGTCAAAATACCCTTCTGTATACTGCCGTTTTGATACTTATCCAATATTTGGGATATTCAATGTTTATGTACGTGTTATGATTCTTGCTACAAAACGAATTATAATGTAAAATCGACTGTATGTGAGCAGGACACTATTATATCAGTTGGTAATATACCTTGAAAGGTCTCATTAATTTTTTCACCTGATGACGATTGCTTGTGTTGTCATCGAAACGTCGTGATATTTTTATTATTTTTCTATCTACGTGGCTTTACCGAAAGACCCAAAGAATATGAATTCCTGCAGTCACGAAAGCTTTAAGTCAAGAGGTATCATTAAATCAGAATGTCAGTTTTATAACATTGGACTGCAGTTCATATTCTTGCTCCGAAATGTTATCAATTGCACTCATATTTTGGTGTTACATGGCGAGGTCTATAGTATGGAGTTAAAATGTGGTTAACTACATTACATACACGAGTAATTACAAGCGGGAGAAAAGCCTTCACTTCAAGGTAATGCTGTAGAGTTACTGTACTTATGAATGATGCTCAATAAATAATTCGTTAGTGAAATAATATAATAAATAGTGCATCATACCTGTAAACAACCTAAAGAACAGGAAGGCAGCCGCTGTAAGGACGGCCACAAAACAGATGGCAGCCAATGTAAATATCACCATCTCTTCCTTGCTTTGAGACACTGTTAAAACACACACAAATTCGTCTCAATGGAGAATGTCATAATTATATTGTAATGTATCTAATAACTGGTTGCTATGTTACACATTGGAATAGACAGAGTTGGAATATAAACCATTTGCACTTACTTTTTGCATGGCAACTAAATATGGTTCTCTAATATCATCACAGTGGCTTATTGCAGCACAGCAAGTTGGTTTAAGTTATATAATAAGTTATATAATAATAATATAATAACTTAGACCTTTTATGAATGCACTGCTGAATGAAAGTCTTTCCAAGTAGTGTTGTCATGGGATTGTTTTTGCCATACTTCACTATGTTCGTCAGTGTAGGTTGGAGAAAGGAGGGTGGGGGGTGGCAGGACTGGTTCACATATCACTCAACCCTTATGTTAACCATGGCTGAGAATTGAACTTAGTTCTCTGGGTTCAAGGTGTAGCGCGCTAATCACCGTGCCACGACTCCAACCCCACCTACCAAAAAATAGTCAAGAGTACTGTATTCCAAATTTGTATTCTCGTTGGCGAGTTGTGAAAAATTTACATGTCATTTTTTTTGTATAAGGGTAAACACATTTTAGCCTGCCTCATACAATATGATGTTTTCATTCCCTAAATTGTGCTAAATAGCAGTAGCAGAATTTAAAATGCCCTTGAACCAAAATCATTAGAAGTGGCCTTGTGTGGCATCTATGAAATGTCCACAATTTAGCTAATCTAGTAAGCAAACACAGCACACATCATTGTGCAGGAACATGACCTTGGGGCTCGTGTGCCTGACGCAGAAGCTGGCTGAAAGCTTGGGCCTTTACACAGTGCCGTTTCTCACACAGACAATGAAACCGTGCAGGCACACTGCAAAACAACACTACCCAAGCAAAGGAGGAAATTCTAGAAAGTGCTTCATTATGAAATAAACGTCACACACAAAGCAAGCTTTATAAGTTACACTAATTTAAACAGAGGTTACAGCAAGATGTGTCGATTAGAATGACTTGAAATTACATGTGTAAGATGTTAGTGTATCGAGGATTAATTGTTGATACTAAATGTTATGAATTGTTGATACTAGTAAAATTTGACGACACTTCACCACACTGCTCTATGTGGGTTTGTGAGAGGAGTGGGGATGGGGGGGGCAAAATCGATGCAGATGTTTTCCGTGGCTGGGAATCATACTCGGGTGCACAGAGATTAAGCAATGGAGTCAGCTCTTGCGCAGTTACTAGATGGATTGTTGCACTCCAAGATGATGATAAATGGTGATGGCTTGCGAAGGCCTTCATCCACCAGTGAATAGATAATGCTTGTTGATGATGAAATTAATAGCTGTTCTTAGCAGATCACAAAAGCTTACCAGGAAAAAACGGTAAAGCAACTGTTTAATATATAGAACAGGAACTTTTGATATCCTAGTTAAGTATGATCATTACGCACACAGTAGTAATCACTGGAGATAAGGAGGAAAGCTATATGTTTCGAATAACACACATTGCATTTCCTTAAGTGTAAGTGGTCACATTGCCCAAGTATAAGTTACATTAAAGAAAATATATTCCAATAATTGAAAAGTGTACCTTTCTTCACTTATACTTTTATACTACCACATTAAATAACTACAGTAGTTGAAATGAAAAGCTTGTTTATCAATTCAGTGTACATACAGAAACACTGCAGCGTAACTTTTAAAAAGCAACGGTTCATAACAGGGTGTAGTAATGACCACTCCTAGCCATTAAAACCCCTCCGGGCTTACAGATCAGGAAAGCTCACTTGAGCACACAGTGGTTGAACAGAGCACGATTAAGAGCAGCCAAATAAGCATTCCTTTGAGATACCAGGAGGGAAACACCTGAGCCTCTGTGAGCCGCAGGGCAGGCATGTGGCCACCTGTAGTCAATCGCTAAATGCACTGAGAGCCATGCCCAGGCATTACAGAAACACACACTTCCAGAGGAACACTTCATGCCTGTTAGTATTTTTATCCGATATGTTTTTATCCCCCACATTGATGTAAAAAAACTAAATTATATAGAAACTGTAAAAATGTGCTTCGCAATTTTATCACATATATTTTGTCAGTGAACAGTTACATGGGCAGTTATTCAGGGATATGGAATAAACGGTAAATTCACAACCTGTCACTGAAGAAATCCCAGATACATGTTTTCATCAACAGTAACTATTTTATTGAAATGACCACCGCAGTAATTCAGATGCAAATGAGAATCAATTCTCAAAGGAGACAGTGTGGAGTTGCATGCGAAACAAACGTATAATGTAAAAGAGTATGAAGAGCCCCACACGCACAGACACACACACGCGTGATACCTAGCTGGCTGGGGTCTGTGGGTAGATATGGCAAGTCGGCAAAGTCCTCTGTGAAGTTGGTGTTACACATGTGTGCATGACAGCAGCAGAAGCGTGTGGTCCCATTGCGCACAAAGGCTGGAGGCGAGGTGACCCTGCACGCATCTTGTGTGCACTCTTTTGACTCGCCCGTGTGATACCAGCAGCCTGGAGCATTCCGACCATTCCCAGACAGGCAAAAGACACATGGTTGGGAAGGAGACTGTAAAATATGGCATGCATTTTCTAAATGTACTTTTATGCAACATAAATCACCGTGCTCTTCAGCTAATGTAAAGCAGAGCAATTCCAATACTGAAATAACAAATCTAATCAACATAACATAGAAATTCAAAGCTGCACTTCCAAAATTAATTATATTGAGAGCGAATGATAATTGGATTTTAGACCATATAAAAGAGTACCAGGGCAGAGATGGCCGAAATGTTCATGAACTGTGATCTGTGTAAGATTGCCCAGCCATGGACAATACCGGTGGCGTGCGATATATCTGAACTTCTCCTGGCCATCCTCGTCAACCGACACGGAGCAACGTGGTTTGACCATAGTCAAACAACACCCAAACGGTGTGGGAAGACCATCTATCTAGCAGCGGCTTGACAAAGCCAAATTGCTGTACACTATTACCGTTACAAAAAAATTGAACGATGGGATTACATAGTTGGCTTGCAAACGCCAACAACGCAGGTAGGAGGAGCTGTACCTTGTTTGAGGACTTGCTCTCTCCATTCTCTTCCTTGGCCCACAGCCCAAAGCAGTTGCTGGTGCCCTTGCACAGAACCGTGCCGTTCTCAGGGAGAATGAGGTCATCGTCTTTACCCAGGCTAATAGGGTTCTGGCTGGGAATGGAGTCGGACCATGCGCACACCGTCTCCAAAGCCCCGCACAGCACTGCACGAGGAAAGAACAACAGATGCATAGCAGAGTCAAAATACACTCTTATTTTTACAATATGCAAGCCAATACATCATAATATATTCAGTGTTGGATAGATACATTTAAATATTTTATACAGCTGATAAATGTGCCACTAGCCTAAACCAGAGGAGTTTTGCTTTAGTAAAAAAAACTAAACAAAAAAAACTCTGTTATGGCTAAAATAAACATTTGCAGTCAGAATAAAAAAATGCAAACATCATGGAAATCAGAATACAAAAATGGAAGTGGTAGGATGGGAATGAAGCAGTGGCACTGTGGATTGCCGATTGTGCACATAACCTAGGTGTTCCCTTCAAAGACCCTGCACTGACCAGTGTGGGAAAGTATGATCAAACGAACCCCACAAAAATATAAAAAACATGCCCGAGCCAAATTTTGATTTAAAGCTTTCGTGACTGCAGGGATTCATATTCTTGGTTCTTTCGGTGCGTTTTTCACACCTGATGACGATTGCTTGTGTTGCAGTCGAAACGTCGTGAGAATTTTATTGTTTTATATTTGTATTTTTTATTGTTTCCCTTCTACGTGACTTTACCGAAAGAACCAAGAATATGCCTGAGCCAGTTATTACATGATTTTTAATGAATGCATATTTAGCCTTAGGGCAATCTTTTTAACAAATTTTACATTTCCCTTTCATCTTGGCGAAGATTTTAACACTGTTAAATACATTAGCACTCACTGTATACACAGATAGCATTTAAATATGTATACATCTTGGAAGACACACCGCATATGGTAACAAAAAATTAATGTGTGTTCTACAAAGTTGTAGTTAAGGATCATGTCCTACATTGTAAAGGACAGTCATTTGAACGCATTTGTTTTAACCACAAATTTTAAACAATATCCATCAGAGACAATGGAGTTCACACATCGAACCTATATATTTTTTTCAATATTATTTTATAGTGTTAATATATCTTAGTTTAGTTAAATTCACCTGTCAAGCACCGGGTATGTTATGCAGCTAAAATGACTTAAAACACCTTGTATACACATATCCCTGCTTGCGATTCTCACATACAGTAGGGGACATGCGGCAGACACTTCATTTATCACTGTCTGACATCAATGCATAACCTTGACATTTAACTGCTAATAACATTAGTCTGTGAACCTTACCTTATTTTCATATACATGCCTGTCCTCTTCTGTTGCACAACCACATTGAACTGATTCAATAACCAAATTCAATTTATAACAGTTGGATTAACTTGTCCAACACCAACAAAATATTTATGTTTCTGTGCTATGTGTGTTTCAAAAAGGGCCAATACTTGCCCTTGAATGTGCATTCAACCATATGATTACAATCTGGTTTTACCAATACAAATATATAAATCTTATTCGTTATTAGAGCTGATATCTTAAACAATACATGCATGCATTACAGTAACATGTATTTTTAAATACTGTTTATCCCATGCCATAAAACATGCATTTTAACTCATTCCATCTGTCTGGCAAAGCAGTGAAAAACTCTCTCGTAAAAAATGATCCCATTATAACAACATTTTTGTAAAACATTGGGTTGCTATTGGGGACTTATGCTATTGAAAACCAGCTGAATTGATCAAAGGGTTGCCGAAAAGTCAGTGAGCGAAAAACTGCACTGAAGGTAAAAAAGCCTTTTCGGCTAAGGCGATGATGCCACATTGTGCCTCCCCACGTCATTATCTGTCAAAAGCATCGAGAGGCGAGCATCTTCGCTCCCGACGTCAGATCATGTGCTGTGTGACATCATCTTGTCAACAGCCATGCTCAATTTACTGATGGTTGAAGACCCCATGCTGTCACCATCCCTCCACGATCCCATGATCTAAAAGTTCACATGCACAAGAGATGATTTCATCGCTCCATCTTTGTTGATGAACGTACTCTTGAGCACGTTACCCTTCCTTGGCTGCCAATCATCGTATTTCTTGACCACCGACAAACCAAGGCCCTCTTACTTTTCTCAACGGTCATTATATATTTAACCTGCATATGTTCCTAATACACTTGTTTATCTGCGTCTCTCAATGTCATTCCAAATGTGTCCTCTGCATGTTTATTTGCACACTTTCCAGATAGTGTTCAATGTTGTCAGATAATGCCCATATATCAGTCGTGTCATTTCAGGTAGTATAAATTCATACATAGCCAGAGGAATACGAATATTGGAAAGTATTATATAACCCATGCATGATTTCCCTTTCTTGTTACAAGAGCATTATAGTTCAGCATTTGTAAAAATGTGTTGTACATACACTAAACATATTTTAATTCAAATAATCACAAGTGACATTGCATGTTTGTTTCCATAAACCTCTAAATGTATACACACACACTTTTTTTTATCACAAGCACACTCTGAAACAATACAAAAGCGTAGCCATCAGGTTTTGTTTGTGGCACTGTGTGGAGAGACTGCAAAACAGCATCGGCAACCAATCGTCCCCTGAAAGAACCCCATGTTGGCCGCCTTCCAACAAGCAAGCTGGGCTAGTGCCTGCTTTAATCACTGGTTGCCAACGGTTTTAGAAAACTGCAGCACTGCAGCATTCCTTTGGCTATTCCCAAGCCCTTCCCACAATTCTTCTGGACCAATGCCTACGCAAAGATTAATTATTCTAATGCTGAGCGCATCAAGCCGCTCTGTCCTCCATTCTGACAGCAGCAAGATTCCCTTTCCGCCATTATAATTCCATTACTAGATCATCTACATTGACAAACCTGCCATCAAATGTGATGGAAAAATCATAGAAGCACCCCATGAAAGCGGAAACCAGACATATCCTTGCCAAAGCCATTTAAGTACAAAACGTGTAAAGAGTTCAATGCTTAGTCGTGTTCATCAGAGAGGTAGGTGTCACTTGGAAATTTGTTTGACAAAGTCATAACCAAGGTAATAAGACAGTGAACAATATAAATCAATGGTCTTATTACGATATTTTTCCTAAAAGCACGAACAATATCAAAAAAGTTTAAACTCATTAAGTTGGAAAAATTAAATATTTAAATTTTTTTTACTTAGCTATGAAGTTATAAGCGTACATACATCATGATTTAAGGGTTGTCCCTAAAGTGAAGCATGTAAATGTTCACTTGTTTGACTTTCTTGTATGATCTATGTATATTATGCGGAGTGCTGTCAAAAAACATCTATCATCAAGCATTCCTCATGCGATGTCCCCTTCCGGCGGCAGCAGCAAAGAGAAAGTAATCAACCCTGAAGCTAAACACCTGGGCATTGGCGGCAAGAATTCAGCACATGCCCGCCTGTGTTTTCATGTATTTGATCGTGTGGCAAAAAACAGAGCCAAGTCAGTTGCTTTTAAATTTAAATCTATTGGCTAATATAATGCTACAGGAGATGTTTTACCGCGATGCCATGCGTATTTAAAACGTGCATTTCGTTTTGTTATTTACAGACCCCCGCAGTTATGGGGACACGATGCGTCTTGATCACTTTCATTTCAAACCATCTCAAACATTTTAACCAAGCTAACAAATAATTATCAATAATCTTCTCCGTCTTGAACAGTCACATTATTCACGTACAGCAGCTAAAACCCAAAGCAACATCAAATCCCCCAAAAGTTAATGGTTTTCAATGCAAAAGTATCAGCGTTTCTTACTTGAATATAATGATCTATGTTTTATTGATACGAGCAGTAGTTCTCAAAACATTTAATTTAAACACAGCCTGAGTATTGTGAGCATGCACTTTGCACTGGTATCCTATCATGAATCACATATCATTGTCATTTGTAAATTACATTTTGTACCATCATTAAATCAAAAGGTTTAATGGAGAGGAAACTTTGCATAGAAAAGCAATGCCTCTCATGAATGGGAATATATTTTTTGAAGAAGCCTTCTTGGTCAAGTTCCAAATAAAACAACAATAACATGGTGATTATTTACAAAGATATGAAACGAAACAAATTATAATCATAATATTAAATCAATAAATGTTATAAATACAAAGCCACTATTTTACTACGTCAGAAGACAGTGTTTGGTATAGTCTGGAGTACTTATATGAACAAAATAACGTGTATTTCCTATTCCTGTTTGATCATAATCTAGTACAGTACACAGGAACAAAATAATTCCAACACATTAGGATTTTAAACAATTTTCACATTTAAAAGAGCAGGTCATCCACATTTAGTTGAACAGGTTCATTCAGTGCCGAACAAATTATGCACATAAATATACCCAATTATTATCAACAGTCATTTCATGCGGGCGGAAATGCATAATGTGCGGTAAGGTTATGGTATAGCCAATCCTAGGCAAGTAAACACATATCCCCAGGAAGGTAATTGGCCTGAATAATGGCAACTGCTATTCCAGCACCAAATCTGTGAAATCCAACAGCTATGGGTCAAACGAGTTTATACTGTATAGTATATGATTAAGTGCAAATCCAGTGAAATTACCAGCAGCCCTCCAAAACTGTAGATTTTTTGTTGGCTAAATTAATGCAAAACTTTACAAGATACGAACAACCCCCTGAAGTACTCAACATTAAAATCCGATATTGTACTGAAGATTGCTGCCAAATGAAGTAGATACTTTTTATTCAGCCATTTACCAAGCCACCGTTAGCAGTCATTAAAAATACAATCCAGCAAGCAACCATCGGGCACTGCCGAATTTTACCGTCACCATCCTATAGTAAAATAATACAATATTTAAATGAAAGCTGTTTCTTTAGTTATCTACAACACAGATCCAACATTTTTCATAGGTGGCCTACATTTCATCAATGGCCAAATGTAACAGAAATTGAGTAGCCATGTGACCATGACACATGGCTACTCAATGTGACCATGACACTAGCATGCATATTTAATTTAAGTATCCACCAAACCTGTGATTTTTGCAATACTACCATCCTCAATTCATATATATTACATTAAGATGCCTTAGGGCTAAACACTTGGACCTCATATCCTGACAAACCACCCTTTTACCTGTCAACCAAAATTACTTTTGCAATTTAAATCAACGTTAATGTATCTCAAACAGGATGTCTAGACAATGGCTTCAATAAACCATACATTTAAAGTGAAGCAGGTGCCGATAATGGGGTAGCAAAAGCACTCCATGTGGTGTTAGGATCAAATGATCCAGGCCAGGATTGCAAAATTGCCACCAGTCAATCGAGAGCATGCTCTACCTCATTGAGAACGCCATGGAAACCCATGGATTTCACAACTGTGGTCTCATTATTATACAGCAGATGTTGACATGGAAGAGATCCACTATGAAGCAAATTTCCTGAGTCCATAAATGTATAAACACGTACAGATTGTATCACCGTTAGAAAGCACAAAAAGGTCTGACATTTACATATTGAATATAAGCGATTGTTTCCTGCTGATACATTCGAAATGCAATGTATGGATGTTCATCGAAAAAATGTTTGTTGTTGTAAATATCACCGAATGGCTTTTAAATGTAAATCAATAAACATTGTTTTGGTCAGTGTATTTAACAGTGATTTGTAAATATTGTTCACTACGTTATGAATGAACACATAAATTACTTTAATAAAATATTATTTTGCACAGGAATAACTACGTATAATCTTGATTTTAAGCTTCCGTGACTACAAGAATCCATACTCTTTGGTTCTTTCGGTAAAGTCACACAGGTATAAAAATAATAGATCACGACGTTTCGTGGGACAACCACAGCAGTGTTTTCTTGCTGTGGTTGTCCCACCTGGTGACGATTGCTTGTGTTGCGATCGAAACGTCGTGATCTATTATTTTTTCTACCAGCGTGACTTTACCAAAATAACCAAAGAGTATAACTACGTATAGGTAGTTCGCTGAAACTTAATAACAAAATTCAGGACTTGATAATAGTTAAATGTGTAAAAAAAAATCACTCTGCATTTGTACATTATGCAAAAACCATTACAAGTCTTGACTTCAAGCTTTCGTGACTGCAGGAATTAATATTCTTAATAACAATCATAAGACCCTGAACAACTGCAGTCATCATCTTATCTTAAGTCACAATCAAATAAAATGAGCAAATGTGACCCATTGAAACGTATCGTTTTCCGACGTGTAATAATTATCTAAAGATGAAACCTCAAACTCCTGGGTAGAAACGTTATGATTTGAAAATACCAAAATGCAATCATTCAAACAGCTGCAAGGCAGCGTGATATGGAAGCTGCTGCTGCTATTTATCTCCCCAGACAGTGGGACTGTACTAACAGTACGAGTGTTGAGACAGTTTGACCTGCATTTAAAGATTTCTTATAAGCCACCATTTTCTGCCTTGTTCAGTGTTTGCCAGTTCGAATGTCATCAAGTCCCGCATGCAGCATATTCCATCACGAAAAAAAATCCTAATTATGGCAAACTGACAAGCATTCTCAAAAAATCTGGTTTCTTATTCTTTAGAGAATTCTCTTCATAATGAGACACCACAGGGAATCTGGTGCATACTCAATGGCCTTCTCTTAACCGACCTCCAGAAGGTGCTCTCATGCTGAGGGGGAGATTGTAGGTTTTATTCAATAGCTAACCCAATGTAAAGATGGTCGAGCTGGATGCAGTTACAGCAATATTTACAGCCTGCGGTGGCAGGATTGAAGATATCCATTTAGCTGTACGTGGGAGACATTTTCACTCTCGCTGGTAACTTGATATCAGAAACCAAGATCTCAAAAGGTATTGGCAATTTTCGCAATGTAATGAACATCTCAAACGTGTCATAACTTCAGATTCATTTTAACAATTGTTGTGGACAACACTGTATATTCAAAGACTTAAAATAAACCCCTTTAAAAATCACGGGTGTGCTTTTGAAGGGGTTTATTAAAATCACTGGTACGATTTTCCCGACAGATGATACTTCTGTATGTTTTACATCGTGTTCTAAATGTTGTGATTTATACTCCTGAAAATATTGCACTGAAAATATTCAGTCGCAATGCCAAACCAGTAATTATATTGCTCTTCATACGATTCTAATAAACATGACTTTCTCTTACAATAACTCATACCCTCGGTATAGTATTTCCTGTATTTGAAGAATGGTTTTGGCCTCAACCCCTTACTGCAAAAATGAGTGTCAATTTTCGTAAATATTTTGCATTCGATGTACTTTGCTTATACGTGGCAAAATCTGCTGCCACTCAAAACCTTGGAATTTCACTAATAACACTATACATCACTGAATGCACCACACGTTCACAGTAAATCAATACACATCGGTCTTATAATGTAAAGTACCTCCACAGATTCCAAAGCCCACTGTATTGACGGGCTTTGTGTGCTCCTAACAGTTTTTGTATATTATATTGCTGGACTTCTTCCTTGTAGAATTGTTACCTGTGGTGCAGGATGTCCTTTTAAGCAACTGGGAGCTCTGCACTTTTAAACCATCTGGACTGAAAACTCATTCCTTACGAACTGCTGCTTCAAATCGTTCAGTGTCCCCTTCCCTCCCCCGCACCTCCGATTACCACGGTCGGCTACGTACGGTGCAAAGGAAGTTCAACGTACATACATGCGATTATGATCGTGGACATTTTGTTATTGCTAGCATTGAAAGTCAAACAGAAGTCCACCATCATCACAATCTCCCGTGAACTCTTAAAACCCCCCCAATTGCTCAGACACACAAAAGTGTACCGCCGACCGAGACGTGCAAAAAAAAACACCCCAGCATCAGCGTGCGTCACATCGTGCGCACACACACACAGACATATATACACATACATAGCTCAAGTGCACTCAACCATTGCCCGGGGTTGAAGCACTCTTCCCCACGGACACGTCTGCACACCAGCAATGTCTTCGAGAGAGACGCAAGGACAACAAGGCTGGGAGGGACGCGTGCCCACGAGGATATGCACCGCGTGCATTGCCGAGCTGCAAGCTTCTACCAAACGACTCGGAGTTCACAACGCAGAGCGAGAGAGGCGACGTCTGAGAGTGACCACCACGACTGCGTTTCGGTGCGAGGAAGATGATGGTGGTGATGGTGGTGATGATGATGATGGTGGTGGTGATGATGATGATGATGGTGGTGGTCGTGATGATGATGATGGTGGTGGTGATGATGATGATGGTGGTGGTGATGATGGTGATGATGGTGATGGTGGTGGTGATGATGGTGATGATGGTGATGGTGGTGGTGATGATGGTGATGGTGGTGGTGATGATGGTGATGGTGATGATGGTGGTGGTGGTGGTGGTGATGGTGGTGGTGGTGATGATGATGATGGAGGAGATGATGATGGTGATGATGATGGTGGTGATGATGGTGGTGATGATGATGGTGGTGATGGTGGTGATGGTGGTGGTGATGGTGGTGATGATGATGATGATGGTGGTGGTGGTGATGATGATGATGGTGGTGATGATGATGGTGGTGATGATGATGGTGGTGGTGGTGATGATGATGATGGTGGTGATGGTGGTCATGATGGTGATGATGATGGTGGTGATGATGATGATGGTGGTGGTGATGGTGGTGATGGTGGTGGTGGTGATGGTGGTGATCATGATGGTGGTGATGGTGGTCATGATGGTGGTCATGATGGTGGTGATGGTGGTGATGGTGGTCATGATGGTGATGATGATGGTGTTGATGATGGTGGTGATGGTGGTCATGATGGTGATGATGATGGTGTTGATGATGGTGGTGATGGTGGTCATGATGGTGATGATGATGGTGTTGATGATGGTGGTGATGGTGATGATGGTGGTGATGGTGGTCATGATGGTGATGATGATGGTGATGATGATGATGTTGATGATGGTGGTGATGGTGGTCATGATGGTGATGATGATGGTGTTGATGATGATGGTGGTGATGGTGATGATGATGGAGGAGATGATGATGATGGTGGTGGTGGTAATGATGAGGAGGATGATGGAGGTGATGATGATGGTGGATGATGGAGGTGACGATGATGATGGTGGTGATGATGATGATGGTGGTGGTGATGATGAGGATGATGGAGGTGGTGATGATGATGATGATGGTGGATGATGGAGGTGATGATGATGGAGGGTGATGATGATGATGGAGGTGGTGGTGATGATGAGGATGATGGAGGTGGTGATGATGATGATGGTGGATGATGGAGGTGATGATGATGGAGGTGGTGATGATGATGGTGGTGATGGTGGATGGTGGATGATGGAGGTGATTATGATGATGGAGGTGGTGATGATGATGGTGATGATGGTGGATGATGGAGGTGATGATGATGATGGAGGATGATGATGGTGATTATGATGATGGAGGTGGTGATGATGATGGTGATGATGGTGGATGATGGAGGTGATGATGATGATGGAGGATGATGATGGTGGTGATGATAGTGGATGATGGTGGTGATGATGATGGTGGAGGGCTTCTCCGTCGCTTCATCTCATCCAACGCATTCCTGGCCCGAGCGCCTCCGCAAGGGCGAACAGATGGCCGCGGCCATGCAACACGCAGCAAGCACACAGAGAGAGAGACACAGACACACAGAGAGACACAGAGACAGACACACAGAGACACAGACACCCATAGACGAGACGAGTCGGCCGTGTTCCTCACCGGGCGGAGGCGACCCGAGGCCGGCGAGCGCCACCACCACCAGCAGCAGCAGCAACGCGGCCACGGCCATGTCCGCTCGCCTCGTCTCCTCCTCCTCCTCCCCCCTCCCTCCTCCTCGTCGTCTTCTCCTCCACCACCACCAGCTCGTGTGGGAGAGCTCACACCTCGTCACACCTCGTCGCCACAGCGGCGCTTCTCGCTCAAGGTGGACCCGCAGCCCGGGGCGCACAGCCGCGCCGCGCCCCCCCCGGCCATTGCTTCTCTTCGCTCGCTCCCCTGCTGTCCAAGCAGCGATGAGATATCCGCCTGAGCTCTTGTTAGTGATGGTGATGCTGCTGCTGCTGCTGTTGTGATGGTGGTGGTGGTGTTGATGACGAGGCGGGTGTTGTTTTGGTGGCGTGAAGGCGAGACGCGAGACGCCGCTGTGAGGCGGCGGCGGGGTGGGTGGTGGGTGGGTGGGGTGATGGCGGAGCCGAGAGGGGAGATGGCGACAGCAGCCCCACCCCCTCACCCCCCTCCCCCTCCCCACCCCCTCACCCCCCCTCCCCCTCCCCACCCCCTCCTCCCCTACCCCCAACCACCACCCCTCACCCCTCCCCACCCCCTCACTCCCCTCCCCCCTCATCCCCCTCCCTACCCCCCTCCCCTACCCCTCACCCCCCTCCCCTATCCCCCTCACTCCCCTCCCCTACCCCCTCACCCCCTCCCCGCTCACCCCCCTCACCCCTCCCCTACCCTCAACCACCTCACCCCCCCCTCCCCTACCCCACCCCCTCACCCCCCACCCCCCTCCCCGCCAGCCTCACCACCCCGCAGACCCGCCCGGGGTCTTAGAGGGACCCCGTTACTACAGCAGGTCTCTCTGTTACTACAGCGGGTCTCTCTGATACTACAGCAGGTCTCTCTGTTACTACAGCGTGTCTCTCTGTTACTACAGCGTGTCTCTCTGTTACTACAGCAGGTCTCTCTGTTACTACAGCGGGTCTCTCTGATACTACAGCAGGTCTCTCTGTTACTACAGCGTGTCTCTCTGTTACTACAGCGTGTCTCTCTGTTACTACAGCGTGTCTCTCTGATACTACAGCAGGTCTCTCTGATACTACAGCGGGTCTCTCTGATACTACAGCAGGTCTCTCTGATACTACAGCGGGTCTCTCTGATACTACAGCAGGTCTCTCTGTTACTACAGCGTGTCTCTCTGTTACTACAGCGTGTCTCTCTGATACTACAGCAGGTCTCTCTGATACTACAGCGGGTCTCTCTGATACTACAGCAGGTCTCTCTGTTACTACAGCGTGTCTCTCTGATACTACAGCAGGTCTCTCTGTTACTACAGCGTGTCTCTCTGTTACTACAGCGTGTCTCTCTGTTACTACAGCGGGTCTCTCTGTTACTACAGCGTGTCTCTCTGTTACTACAGCGGGTCTCTCTGTTACTACAGCGGGTCTCTCCGTTACTACAGCGTGTCTCTCTGATACTACAGCAGGTCTCTCTGTTACTACAGCGTGTCTCTCTGTTACTACAGCGTGTCTCTCTGATACTACAGCGGGTCTCTCTGATACTACAGCGTGTCTCTCTGTTACTACAGCGGGTCTCTCTGATACTACAGCGGGTCTCTCTGATACTACAGCGGGTCTCTCTGTTACTACAGCGGGTCTCTCTGTTACTACAGCGTGTCTCTCTGTTACTACAGCGGGTCTCTCTGTTACTACAGCGTGTCTCTCTGTTACTACAGCGGGTCTCTCTGTTACTACAGCGGGTCTCTCTGATACTACAGCGGGTCTCTCTGATACTACAGCGGGTCTCTCTGTTACTACAGCGGGTCTCTCTGTTACTACAGCGGGTCTCTCTGTTACTACAGCGGGTCTCTCTGTTACTACAGCGTGTCTCTCTGATACTACAGCAGGTCTCTCTGTTACTACAGCGTGTCTCTCTGATACTACAGCAGGTCTCTCTGTTACTACAGCGTGTCTCTCTGTTACTACAGCGTGTCTCTCTGATACTACAGCGGGTCTCTCTGATACTACAGCGTGTCTCTCTGTTACTACAGCGGGTCTCTCTGATACTACAGCGGGTCTCTCTGATACTACAGCGGGTCTCTCTGTTACTACAGCGGGTCTCTCTGTTACTACAGCGTGTCTCTCTGTTACTACAGCGGGTCTCTCTGTTACTACAGCGTGTCTCTCTGTTACTACAGCGGGTCTCTCTGTTACTACAGCGGGTCTCTCTGATACTACAGCGGGTCTCTCTGATACTACAGCGTGTCTCTCTGTTACTACAGCGGGTCTCTCTGATACTACAGCAGGTCTCTCTGATACTACAGCGTGTCTCTCTTACTACAGCAGGTCTCTCTGATACTACAGCGTGTCTCTCTGTTACTACAGCAGGTCTCTCTGATACTACAGCGTGTCTCTCTGTTACTACAGCGGGTCTCTCTGTTACTACAGCGTGTCTCTCTGATACTACAGCGGGTCTCTCTGTTACTACAGCGGGTCTCTGTTACTACAGCGGGTCTCTCTGATACTACAGCGGGTCTCTCTGATACTACAGCGGGTCTCTCTGATACTACAGCAGGTCTCTCTGATACTACAGCGTGTCTCTCTGTTACTACAGCGTGTCTCTCTGATACTACAGCGGGTCTCTCTGTTACTACAGCGGGTCTCTCTGTTACTACAGCGGGTCTCTCTGATACTACAGCGGGTCTCTCTGTTACTACAGCGGGTCTCTCTGATACTACAGCGTGTCTCTCTGATACTACAGCGTGTCTCTCTGATACTACAGCGGGTCTCTCTGATACTACAGCGGGTCTCTCTGATACTACAGCGTGTCTCTCTGATACTACAGCGTGTCTCTCTGATACTACAGCGTGTCTCTCTGATACTACAGCGTGTCTCTCTGATACTACAGCGTGTCTCTCTGTTACTACAGCGTGTCTCTCTGTTACTACAGCGGGTCTCTCTGTTACTACAGCGTGTCTCTCTGATACTACAGCGTGTCTCTCTGATACTACAGCGGGTCTCTCTGTTACTACAGCGGGTCTCTCTGTTACTACAGCGTGTCTCTCTGTTACTACAGCGGGTCTCTCTGTTACTACAGCGTGTCTCTCTGTTTCTACAGCGGGTCTCTCTGTTACTACAGCGGGTCTCTCTGATACTACAGCGGGTCTCTCTGATACTACAGCGTGTCTCTCTGTTACTACAGCGGGTCTCTCTGTTACTACAGCAGGTCTCTCTGTTACTACAGAGTGTCTCTCTGTTACTACAGCAGGTCTCTCTGTTACTACAGCGTGTCTCTCTGATACTACAGCAGGTCTCTCTGTTACTACAGCGTGTCTCTCTGTTACTACAGCGGGTCTCTCTGTTACTACAGCGGGTCTCTCTGTTACTACAGCAGGTCTCTCTGTTACTACAGCAGGTCTCTCTGTTACTACAGCGGGTTTCTCTGTTACTACAGCAGGTCTCTCTGTTACTACAGCAGGTCTCTCTGATACTACAGCAGGTCTCTCTGATACTACAGCAGGTCTCTCTGTTACTACAGCGGGTCTCTCTGTTACTACAGCGGGTCTCTCTGTTACTACAGCAGGTCTCTCTGATACTACAGCAGGTTTCTCTGTTACTACAGCGTGTCTCTCTGTTACTACAGCGGGTCTCTCTGTTACTACAGCAGGTCTCTCTGTTACTACAGCAGGTCTCTCTGTTACTACAGCGGGTCTCTCTGTTACTACAGCGTGTCTCTCTGATACTACAGCAGGTCTCTCTGATACTACAGCAGGTCTCTCTGTTACTACAGCGGGTCTCTCTGTTACTACAGCGGGTCTCTCTGATACTACAGCAGGTCTCTCTGTTACTACAGCGGGTCTCTCTGTTACTACAGCAGGTCTCTCTGTTACTACAGCAGGTCTCTCTGATACTACAGCAGGTCTCTCTGATACTACAGCAGGTCTCTCTGTTACTACAGCGGGTCTCTCTGTTACTACAGCGGGTCTCTCTGTTACTACAGCAGGTCTCTCTGATACTACAGCAGGTTTCTCTGTTACTACAGCGTGTCTCTCTGTTACTACAGCGGGTCTCTCTGTTACTACAGCAGGTCTCTCTGTTACTACAGCAGGTCTCTCTGTTACTACAGCGGGTCTCTCTGTTACTACAGCGTGTCTCTCTGATACTACAGCAGGTCTCTCTGATACTACAGCAGGTCTCTCTGTTACTACAGCGGGTCTCTCTGTTACTACAGCGGGTCTCTCTGATACTACAGCAGGTCTCTCTGTTACTACAGCGGGTCTCTCTGTTACTACAGCGGGTCTCTCTGTTACTACAGCGGGTCTCTCTGTTACTACAGCAGGTCTCTCTGTTACTACAGCAGGTCTCTCTGTTACTACAGCGTGTCTCTCTGTTACTACAGCGGGTCTCTCTGTTACTACAGCGGGTCTCTGATACTACAGCAGGTCTCTCTGTTACTACAGCAGGTCTCTCTGTTACTACAGCAGGTCTCTCTGTTACTACAGCAGGTCTCTCTGTTACTACAGCAGGTCTCTCTGTTACTACAGCGGGTCTCTCTGTTACTACAGCAGGTCTCTCTGTTACTACAGCGGGTCTCTCTGATACTACAGCGTGTCTCTCTGTTACTACAGCAGGTCTCTCTGATACTACAGCAGGTCTCTCTGATACTACAGCGTGTCTCTCTGTTACTACAGCAGGTCTCTCTGATACTACAGCGTGTCTCTCTGTTACTACAGCAGGTCTCTCTGATACTACAGCGTGTCTCTCTGTTACTACAGCGGGTCTCTCTGTTACTACAGCGTGTCTCTGATACTACAGCGGGTCTCTCTGTTACTACAGCGGGTCTCTCTGTTACTACAGCGGGTCTCTCTGATACTACAGCGGGTCTCTCTGATACTACAGCGGGTCTCTCTGATACTACAGCGTGTCTCTCTGTTACTACAGCAGGTCTCTCTGATACTACAGCGTGTCTCTCTGTTACTACAGCGTGTCTCTCTGATACTACAGCGGGTCTCTCTGTTACTACAGCGGGTCTCTCTGTTACTACAGCGGGTCTCTCTGATACTACAGCGGGTCTCTCTGATACTACAGCGGGTCTCTCTGATACTACAGCGTATCTCTCTGATACTACAGCGGGTCTCTCTGTTACTACAGCGGGTCTCTCTGTTACTACAGCGGGTCTCTCTGATACTACAGCGGGTCTCTCTGATACTACAGCGGGTCTCTCTGATACTACAGCGGGTCTCTCTGATACTACAGCGGGTCTCTCTGATACTACAGCGGGTCTCTCTGTTACTACAGCGGGTCTCTCTGATACTACAGCGGGTCTCTCTGTTACTACAGCGGGTCTCTCTGATACTACAGCGGGTCTCTCTGATACTACAGCGTGTCTCTCTGATACTACAGCGTGTCTCTCTGATACTACAGCGGGTCTCTCTGATACTACAGCGGGTCTC